TTCTTCTTCTTGATCTTCGGCTATCAGGTCGTGTATGGTAGTGGATAGAGAGGGATAGTGTTGGGTAAGCAGTAAGTAGGCTTGTTCGATCGAAATGATCTTGGCTTTTCCAGTTGAGGAGGGTGATGAGGCTCGAGGGGATGGGCTGAGTATTTGCGTGGTTAAATTATTTAGAGGTTGAAGGGCGGATTGTAGGGTAGTAAGTTGCGAGGCACGATATATCGTAGCGAGGGATTGATTGGGATTCTGAGGGACGCTGAGATATTTGTTAGTTTGGTACAATATAGAGATGAGGATATGGATTTACCCTAGAGTCGCACCGGTTTGCTCAATCCTCTCAATTTCGTATGAGAGCTTGGACTGAATAATGAAAATTGCATGGAGTAGCGCTCGATACAAAGGACTTTTGAACGGCTGTGCAATTTTTTCCGGACATATTTCTGGGTGCTTCAACATGTATGAACGCTCTCGTTCGTTTACTACCATGCAGCAAACTAAATCTACAAGACCTTCTTCGAAACCGTGAAATTCTACAACTCGAGAATCTGATAGTTTGTTTGTAGATGGAGGTTGTACAGCAAACATAAATTCCTCCTCGGGCTGCTTTGGATTCGGAGGGACGTGACAATTTTGACTTCTGCGCAATTGGATAGCATCAGGGCCTGGGGTCAGTTTGAGATTGACAACATTCCGATTCACAATATCGTTTGGAAGAATAAAACCGTAGCCAAGTAGCAATTCGCTATTTGATTTGTTTCCATAATAATTGTAAATTTGATCTCCTTCCGAGACGCCGGCAGAATGAACTAGATCGAAGGAGTTGGAGCTAAGATCTTTCTTCCACTCTACCTGATTAATGCCATTATGATTGCCTATATCAACTAGAGGATAAAGGATCGAAAATCTATCATTGCGAACATGGTCTAGATTAAGATCCATCTCTTTAGAGCTCTCGCTCAGTGCTTCGGGACAAATTGTCAAGGACGGCCGAAAACTTCGACTATCAAATATAGTAGCAGCCCATTGATACAAGATATAACTGTATTCTTTATGATTTGGCAATTCTCTCAGAAGCACAACTCCCTTCTTCCACTGATCTCTCCACATCTGTTCTCGCTTCTGAAGCGGAGGTCCTGCGTTTGTCCCAGCGAGGAATTTCTGGTCTTCCTCTGGCCACCAGATAGGAATCCCAAGGCTTTTGGGATCACCTGGTTGGGGAAGTAATCTGATATACTGCCACCATGGAGATTTCTCACACTTCAGATATTGCTGCATGAGGAAAAAGTGACCGATGATATTAGGATCATCTTGCTTTAGAGTCTCTAGGAACTCAATAGGAAATGGTTCCGTAGATGGAAATTGGGAATAATTGCCAACTGCATTCAGATATGATAGAGAAATTTGGTATGAGCATCGTACAATACTTGTTTGAGGAGGTATCGTTTTTTGCGCCTTGAACGATAATCCTGTGACTGCATCTTTGTAAATCTCAACATCAGGATGAAGGTAAGCTCCAGAACGTGTAGTCCATTGAACTAGATGCTGGATATCCTCCGTCATATTGATCTTTAAATTGAGCTCTCTTCAATCAATGCAGGTAAAAAATTCTGGCTGCAAAAAAAGGTCATCAAGCCTTCAGTGAACATACATATCACGTGCTCCAGGCAACTTTTGGTGGGGCACGTTCTGCTCAGTTAGCTGAAATAATAAAAAGCACACATCGAACAAACTCCTGCCAAACTTTGGTACGTATTTGAACCACAGAGCGTCTGTTTGTGGAATTTGAATTGGTACATCAGGAGTGTAATGAGACCATGAGACCTAGGAATCCTCAATCTGCGTGCGATTCATTTTGCTTACCGTGGTCTTGATACTGTATTTTCACATCAACTAACTCATTGAACGTCTGTATCTCCAATACACAGACTGATGGAAAATAAACAGTACGGTAAGTTGAGTTGTATCAAAATTTCGCTCATATGCGAAACTGCCTAGGATGTTACCTCGTATTTGCTGTGTCTCTCCAATAGGATCAGCTTTCTCGGCCAGGTATAGGATCTTGAGCTGAGCGCATCCTTCAGTCTTCAACTTCCCTTCCAACCTCACAAGTATTTCCAGGCTACAAGATGGTTTCCAATAGATATGGTCGTGAACACATTGACGAGCATACAGAACTCTTCCAACCACAGCTTCCAATCCTCACGCGCGCATGGTACTTCATTCAGCTATGGGGGCTGAAGATAGCTATTGTCCTAACTTTCGGAATCCTGCGCTTTCTACGACCAGTACCTCCTGAAGCTCGACCTACGAAGCTCTTGGCATATCCATGTCGACCCAATCTGCCAACGCGAATCTTTATTCCAACGTCGAAGCAAATTGGCAATGAACCGCTTCCATTATACTTGGATCTTCACGGCGGAGGACATGCTTTGATGTTTGCAGAATTCGACGACGAGATCTGTGCGACGATTGCCAATCGTTTGAACGTTATCGTTGTGAGCATCGAGTATAGTTTGACACCATCGAATAGATTCCCAGTATTGACAAATGACGTTGTTGCTATCGCACAAGCCACAATCAACAATCCCGACCTGAACATTGACAAGTCGCGTGTTGTGTTGGGAGGTTTTAGTGCAGGAGGAAACTTGGCTTTATCTGCAGCTCAAATACCTGATTTACGGGAAAAATTGAATGGAGTAATAGCTTGGTATCCAGTGATGGACTTCACGCTCACACCGGACGAGAAGAAAGCCTCGCGACCATATCGGAATGCAAAGGACTTGGATGACCTACCAGATTTTGGACCAGTCCTCGAATGGGGCCATATTCCTCCTGGACAGAATCTCCGCGATCCACTATTGAGCACTAGATTTGTCCGCAAGGACGATCTCCCCAAATGGATATATATAATCGGGGCAGAGTACGACATGCTCGCTAAAGAAGCTAGGGATACAGCTTTTGACCTTGCCGATTTGGATGAAGAGGACCGGAAAGAAGGGATGTATGGTTTCGAGAAGGATAGTTATAAGTGGACACTAGTAAGAGATGTTCGACATGGCTTCACCCATGACTTGATGGACAATAGAGGGCCGGATGCAGAGGCCATGCGGAAACTCAGGACGGATGAAATATTGGAGCAGGTAGGAGACTGGCTATTCAAAGGACCTTTTTCAAAACATTGAGATATCCAATGTTACTCAAAGAAGCTATGGCTATCATTAGTTTCAGCTGGGCTTGTGGCAGTGCTTGGTTGGACAAATTGATTTGGTTAGCGTTATACCAATTGAATTACTATAGCTCTTGATGTTATTTTTCAATATACAAGAACAATGCAGTACATTGGCATTCCATTGTTGATTCATATTTTGCTGCATGGCTAAGTCTATTTGAACATTATTAAGGCTCTCATCTTGCATCTTTTGGACTATCTTCGAAAGTTCAGATCAGGTCCCAACATCTGAGGACAAGATATCTCGATCATATAGCTTCTCCCAAAGTACGAGGTTATTAACTGCGTACCATTCTTCCGAAAGCTGTTCCTATGTTGCCCTTGGGATGAATGGAAAGAAGTTACACTATCTAGTGTGGTGTATTTAACTACTCATTCATATCATGTGCATTACTCACACGACCATCCTTCCCATCCATTCCATCGAATGTTATTATGACATTATGACAATACAGAGCCGAACACGTATCTTCCACAATTTAGAATGGAGCTCCAATAGTTTTGTCCCGCAATTCGTCCGTCTGTCCATATATCAACTGCTCACTCGCCCTTGCTCTATCCGCCGGACCCATTCTCTCCAGCATCTCCCTAATCTTAGCTTCTGCCTCCTCCTCCATCCTCGCTTGCGACATTTTCTCCGCGTCTCTTTGTGACAATGGTACATTTCTGAATGGTCCTGGAAAGCCTGTCATGTCTTCCAAGCGTCGCATTTCCAGCTCTCCGCACTTTCCCGACTCGAAGTCTTGCCCATTATATACCGAGTGAGGCCATATCGTCGGTCTGGACCTTCGTCTTCGATGAAGCCAGGAAAATCGCAAGTGCGAGATTTCCGCCGGCCTTAGAGTTGAATCGTCATCCCGCGCAGGATGTAAAAATCGTTTAGGAACAGGAACTTTTAGACAGAGGATCAGGAGGACAGCGACGAATACGCTCACTGATACGACGATGACCGGTATGACGACGGCCGAGTTAATGTTGTTCGAGCCGAATGGTTTGGTAGGCGCCGAGCTACCTGTTGGTGAGGCAGGCACGTTGGTGATGGAAAGAGTATCCGCAATTGTCAGCGTATATTGTGAAGCTAAGAGCAATGATGGAAAGAACCCTAAACGTCGCATCGTGAGACGATGATTCCTTTTGCCTGTTTATAAGGCTTGAGGAACGACATTTGTGCTCTGCAGCACAGGAATGTAGTACACGGCAAATGAGGCAAAATAGAGCAAAGGGTCTCTGACGAAGTGAGGAATATAGAGATTTATGAGAGGGAACTTTGCACCGCTATTCGGAAAGATGGCTAAATGCAAAGATTCTCCAGAAGGGGTCTGATTTATCTGGAGAGAGGAGAGGTTTCACACAATAAACTAGTTTGGAGAGAATATGATTATTGTTATTATTATTACTACTGTTATTATTATCAACCCTAGCTTATTTGCTTCGCTGCAACCCCCGCAAATGTGTCATATACATCTTTCCCTGTATCATATCACGAAATGCTAGTTTTGTGTCACCGCGGTTACGAATCCAGTTAATGACTATAGAAATCTAGCCCATTTGCTAATTTGCTATGCCTCTTTCATGCAGGAGATCAACGAGGCTTGTCATTTGTGAGATTGGAGTACTATCATTTTCATAATATCTCTCGGTGCTTTGATCTTTAATCCTGGTGATTGGGGGTTACAGTGCATTTTGACGCTGACATGGATAATTTAGATTATAAAACTGCACTTATTGCTTATTGTTCTTCCTACCTAGAACTCAGTACGATGTACTATCAACATCTCGAGTTTTGGATCGGATTCGTCTATTAAGTGCTGAGTGCACTATGTCGATAGCTTCAAAACATGTATTCTTCTTACTTGACCAGTTATCCTGAAGTCGAGCACACGATCATCCAAGCATACAAATACTCCGTAAACCTCTCATGTTTTTTTCAATCACAAGTCCTCAAATAACCCAGGAGTTTGGTTACGTGCAAGACTCCCTTTCTCCATGCATAACGTATGTGTATCATAGATAATATGATAGATATGACTCTAGTCACCTGGATTTAGTTTTAATCTACTCCGTACAAATTGTACAGGGTGCCCCAAACTTCCCCGCAATCCTTCTATTTGACCACTTTCCCATCCTAGAGTCACTTTGTCTAAATGTTAGGTGCGAAATAATCTGCCGTCTAACAACCTACTAACTACAACTGAAAAAAGCAAACCATATCCACACAACCAACATTCGATTCCAGCCATTTATTGTAAGTATAAGATTATCCTAGTTCATCGCTTTCTGCTAATTGGTCCCATAGCCCCGCTATGAGCAGCTGACAAGCCCCGTAACGCTATCGAAATATTTACGCGAATATTGACCATTTTACGTTGAATTTCGAGAATTTGTCATGACCCATCCATCCACCTAGTGTGCGGTCACGTTCCTTACACACACGGAGTATAAGCTCCTATTCTTGGAATCTGATTGCTGTTTCGTGAAAACATATTCCTACTATGTAGCCTTACAAACAAGCTCTATCCCGCGCTTCGAATTTACCCATCCTCAAGCTCGTAGCACAACCTACTACCTCCGCAATAAAATAAGCGAACTTGCAATGGATCTAGAACGCATCATATATATGTAATCTTACTCTGTACGTGATACTTGGGCGCTTGTGCAGTAAAAGTGTTTCATGTTCAACGTATGCAAGGAAGTAATCTTACTAGATTGATGCTGTGTCACGACTATCAGTTGACGTACTGTGATATACAAAGGCTAGAATGTGGTGCCGTAGGTACTTTGCCGAATACTACGTACGATGTGCCGGAATATTGGATGGAATTATCAGGATCGATGTTTTCCAAGGGAAACAATCAGACACTCTTCTCGATGCTTTGAAGGGTCGCCGAATTTCAATAAGTTTCAAGATTTTCACTGCAATACCAACTCACAACCGTGGATGGAAAAGTCAAAGGAATGGAGATCATCTCCTACCTGCATGCTTCTTCAAGTTATTAAGATACAACTAACTTAAAACACAAGATCTTTTCGAGATCTATCATTTTTCATCAATCACTGCATTGTCACAACTATTGATAAACAACCAAGAGTTCTTTCTCCTCTTATCTTCTATTGCTTTATGTTATGGCCTCACGTCTTTCCAATACGGTTCCTTACACTTCGAATTCTTGCCTATCAATACTAGGTACCTAAGTACCTACGTAAGTGTTCTGGAGTTCTAAGTAATGAAAGGTTAATCAGAAATGGTCAAGAGATTTCCAACAGCTGTGAGCTCTGTAAAAGAGTTTTTGAGGTCCAGAAAGATATTTGGTTCAGATTTTAATAATTTCAGGATGTAATAATTTTGGAGTATTTGATGATGCGTTTCAGAGAACGAGAATGCAATCATTAGAAGAACACTAGGTGTAGGAATTGCCTGCACAGGGGCCGCCAACTTCAAATCAGTTATCTTCATACATGAAAAGACACCCAACCCAAATGGCACCATCCACCTCCCTCTTTCAGTGCTTTATGAGACGTGAGCACGATACTCCTAAGCTTAACCGGTTCTTTTATACCTTTGGCACGAGAAGAAAGACGCCTCCCTTGGACGAATCGCCCGTTTCCCCTTCCATAGCGTGACTTTGGTTAAAGCAACGCGAAACTTTCGGTTCTCTAAAGAGCGTAATCCGACAATGCGACCGTCAAAAAACCGAGGTCAGGTCCCAAATAGGAAGATATAACGATGGAAACAACAATTTTCAGCGCCATCATTAGCTTATCGGATCTGATATGCCCCCGAGTACTTGGATTATTGGGTAATAAAGATGTTTAGCCGATACTCTTAGGGACCTATAGCTAGGTGTCTCAGCTCGCTTCAAGTGGAACGTTATCGCCTGGACGATCGTCATTATGGAAGGACCGCTTACATTATTCTTACGCGAGAAGCCCTAGTAGCCGAATCTCGCAGTTTATATAGGGCGCTACACCCTTCATAACATAACACGTGCTGCTTAGATCAAATTTATCTACTGCTCAAAGCCACAATTTGTTTTTCGTCTCAAACTCACTTCATACTCCTCTCAGACCACCTCTTGTAAGCATCTAAAATATAGAAACCGCAAAAACTGTGCTAATACCGGCTGTAGTTATGAAGGCAGTGGACCATCGGTTGCCGTGGGCTTTCAAAACCGTGGTTTGCATGTTTTTGCTACACCTCGAACGTTCTCCGAAATTTCACATCTCGAAGATCTTCCCAATATCACGCTATTGGAGCTGGATGTTATCAATTCACAAAGCATTATTGCTGCCCTTGATGCTATCAAAGCTCAGATGAGCGGAAAACTGGGCTATCTGGTGAGCAGCGGGTAAATCAACGGTCATGCATGTGTTGGATATGGACATCGGCGAAGATCTTCGATGTTGATTTTTGAAGTGCCATTGCCATTATGCAAGCGTTTGTGCCATTTGTTATAGCCGCGAAACGTATAATCGTGAAAATTTGCTCCATTTCGGGTTATATAAATGCTCTCTGGATGAATAAGTTTGACGGATGCAACACCTACATCTTGCGGTTTCTTGTGGGTTGTTCTAAAACTGCTTCCTGATGCCAGGTATTTACAGTGCATCTAAAGCTACTCTGATGCTTCTTTCTGAGAGGGTGAATTGAGAATTGGCTCGATTTAGGGCCAAGGGGAATCGTCAGCGGGATAGCTGATATCGACACAAACATGATGTCTCACGGGGCAATTGGAAGCTTTCTAGCTCTTGGATGGCTGCACAGCAAAATGTCCAAAGCTATAGAGGCTCATGCTACGGGCGCGGATGTAAAGTCATCCGAGAAGAGTAGGTTTTGGTTCCCAAAATTGTGCTTTCAATTATCGCTGACACCAACTTCTTTAATGGATGCAGCAAAATTGCGAACAAAGCCTTCACAGGTGTCTCAGGCGGGGCCAACGGACGAATCTGAAGAGACTCTGCCTCTTATCTGTATGGTTGATGACAATATTGCCAAGTTATCTAATTGTAGCTTCTCTTGAATCTTCGACGTAAATCAAGTTAACAGGTAATTAGGATAAAGCCATGCTAAGTCTGACTAGTGATGAATAATTACCTTAAGTCCCAAGATTGTGGCCCACGAGCACTCTCACATGGATGTAGATATGTCATACAACAAGGGCTAGTATTTCAGGACTTGGAAAGTATTTCAGTTTAGCTAATAATCCTTTATGACTTCAAAAGACTTTCTTCCCCTCTTCATGAAAAGGAAATGGCTTGGTAGATGTGCCTCATCTCGGAGTAGTCTCTCAAAGGCACTTTGTTTCCTTCTGAGTCTTGTCTGTTTTATCAGGGCTAGATCCCTTGTTGGTACTCTGGCTTGGAACCCCCGTAGTGCCTTGTAGCATGATCGAGGTACATAACACGCGCCTATTTGGACAATACCCGTGGATTTCCCTATGATGAATCTAATGGTCATGAAAAAAAATCGCAATAACGACTATTGGAATAGAGCCCCTTACTTCATAACTGTGAATGCTTTATTTTCCTGAACATGGCAAAAGCTTCATACAAGCAAAAGCGAAGGCAAAGACCGGATCATCAGATTCATTTTCTCACAAAAGGGAATAAGAAAGTAGTTCTCGATAACCAACAACAGGACCTCTCCTAATCAATCAGCTAACAAATACCTACCTATCGAAAAACAAAAACAAAAGACTAGACATGAGAATTTCAAGATAGATTTCCAAGATCTATGAACCTCAATAACTTAAGCTTCACTTCCTAATTAAAATATTAAAAACTGATTATCTGCAAACAATGCTCACGCAAATATTATCTACCTATTGAGGGTAAATCACATAACAACAGTAATGCAGAACCCTCAGCTCCCCACAAATTCCCGCAAAACACGACCTAATAACCTGAATAAATAGCCACCCGAGCTAGCTATAATAATCTCCCAACATTAACATCAGATAATCAGTCTCATCTACCAATATTCACAATTTCAACCAAGGTATCAATCTATACACCATATTATTACATTCCATGTATGAATAAATCAAGGAAAGGATGTTGAAGTATGTGGATACATGATGCTGTGATAGTGAGGCAGGCGTGAGTTACTGAAAATGTCAAGAAAAGGATCAAGAAGCTTGGTTAAAACGTTTTTCATTACAAGTCACATGACTCACACGAGCCAAGGAAGCATCAATAGTTATAAAAACGAACGGATATTATCAAATTGGTACTTCTTCATCTAAGAATTATGCTCATCTCTCCTAACTATCACCCCGTATGTTTGTCAACCCAATATTATGAACCCAAAGTATTGTATAATACAATTTATCCCTTTATGTCCTTCCCACTAACCGTCAACCTCAATTTCATTCCGTCTTACCCCACTTAATCAAATAATTAATCCAAAACTCGCCCAGCCGTAGCAGCTGCACTCTTGTCCTTAGTTTGTGTCTTCTTCAAAGCTTTCCCCATCTGGATTTCACCCAAGAATCCAGCTGGTCGTCCACCCGCAGGTGGGGCCGCAGGAGCCCCTCCCATGGGAGGCATTGGTGGTGGAGGTGGAGCACCCATTCCTGGTGGCGGAGGAGGAGGTGGTGGAGGTGGACCGCCTGGTGCACCGGCTGATGGCATGGGTGGTGGAGGTGGTGGAGATGCCACTGGTGGAGATGCCGCAGCAGGCGAATGAGGTGCGGATGTAGCTTCGTTGCCCATAGCCGACAAAGGACGAGGAGGTCCCATGGTTCCAAAAAGAATCGATGCCAAGTGACGCGCGCCGCCTGCACCAGGTCCTTCATCATCAGAGGAATCATCCTCCTTGTCAGATCCAACAACGTCCCAATCATCCTCTTCTGGACGGACACGAGATGGTCTGTTACCTGTTGGCTGAACCTGAATTGGCGCAGGAGCGGGAAGTTCTTGAGAAGGAAGACGATGGAATGGGTTGTTAGATGCAGTAGATGCGGCAGAAGCATCACCAGATTGAGCCATTTTCTTCAGGAAAGGATTGCGGGTTTCTGTTTCAGCTGGAGGGCTGACAACAGGGCTAGTAACTTGTGGGGTTGGTGGGGGAAGGCTGGTTGTTGTTGCTGCCGCAGGGACGGGTGATACAATGACTGGGACTGAGGGAGGAGGAGGGGGTGGAGAGGCTTCTTTGCGCTCAAATTCTTGGCTCCCCTGAGTTGGTGTTGACGCTTGAGGAGTAACTTGCTCTGGACCTTCATCATCATCTGATGAGTCTGAATCATCAATAGCTTCCAGTTGACGTTGCAATTCCCGCTCACGTGCTTGGGCGGCTTCGATCTCCGCACGTTGAGCTGCAAGACGAGCTTCTTGTTGCTTCGTCTCGGCTTGTAGAGCCTTTCTCTTCTTCTTTTCCTCTTCTTTCTTCAATTTCCCAGCCTTCATTTGCTCTTCCAATGCCTTCACACGAGCTTGAGCTGCCTCGCGCTCTTTTGCAAGCTCATTTTCTTGTCGTTGAGCATCGTCCCTATGGATGTTAGCAGTGTGAAAGTTAATCAGGTGAAGGAATCGCCTACTCTAGCTCATTTGTGGCAATAATTTGTGACTTTTGCTCCTTGAGGATTCTATCCTCTTCGAATTTACGTTCACTAGCGTCGCTTCTTGCAGCCTTCCTCGAAGGCGGCGGAGGTGGCTTTTTCGTAATTTCTTTTGGTTGATCCGGTGTATGTGGGGCCACTCCCTGCTCTTCAGCAATTCTAGCTTGCCTTTCGGCCTCACGTCTAGCATCTTCCTCTTCCGCTTGCTTGAGTTTAGCAGCACGCTCATTCTTCTCACGCTCCAATCTCTGTTGTGTTGTCTCTCCAGGTTTAGAAGGTGCCCTAATGCCAAGAGCAGCTAGACGCTCAGCCATGCGCTGCTCTGCCTGTTGCTTGATGTACGCTGCTCTATCTTCTGCTGTCTTATATTGTGAATATGTACCTGCAGAAGGGGTTGGTGTAGATGAAGGCTGCGACGATGGAGTTTCACTACGAGCTGCTGGAGCGGAGCTAACACGAGACGTCTCAGTGGGAGCCTCCCTACTGCGATCGTCAGTCCTAACTTTTGCACTTCTACTGCTCCTTTGCAAATCAAAGATGAAGTCCTTGACTTCATCTTCAACACCGAGCCCATCCTCCCAGCGTCTTTTTTCATGCTCGCTAGATGAACTCTCGCCACCATCTTTGAGACTATCCTCCAGACCCCGTGAAAAATCGCGGACACTTTCTTCGACATCTTGAACCATTCGCTCATTATTTTCCTTCTCGGTTCTGATCTTAAGGTTTTCTTCCTCGAGGCGTTTTGGTGCATCCAAATCATCATTACTTATCTCAATCTTCTTGCCAGTGAGAGCAGCAGAGCGTTGTTGCATCATGGCCTTAGCTCTTGCTTTGAGTCTATCTGATTCGGTAACCGCGCCACCTGGACCAGTTCCAACAATGCTGGAAGCACTTCCAGGGTGAGCTTTTGCATCCTTTAGACGAAAGAGTTCAAGCTTTGCATCGGCAATGCTTCTTTCTGTTCGTCGAACACGCGACGCAATATCCGGAAGTTTATCTGTCAATGTCTGCAACTGTCTCTTCATGGCACGACGCTCGGCGCCGGAGTCAACGTTACGCAATGAAGCGTCTGGGTGCGCATCAATGTCCTCTTGGATACGACGAATGCGACGATACAAATCTTCTGCTTCACGACGATCCTTACGATCAAGGGCATCGTCTTCATCCGCAGCATTTTCGTCCTTGAAATCAATCGCGTCCAATAACACTTGCTTCTCTCTGACTTTCTTCTTCAGCTGATCGAGTGAAAGATCATCATTAGAAGTTGTTGATCCTGGGGATGAAGGTCGTGGGGAAGAAGCTCCGAGTCTGCGACGAGCACTAGATTTATAGCCAACATCATCATCGTTATTCTTAAATACAGTACCATCTTTACGACCTGTACGACCCGGTCCAGAATCCCCACGGAAAGAATGGCTCTTGAGATAGCTTACTCCAGTCTTTTGGGGCAAAAGTGTCGCGCCAGAATTCTTTCGGAAATCTGATTCTTGATGAAGCAACGATTTGACGGCTCCAATTGAATCATTGAAGTTACGAGTGGAGGGGGGTACAAGCTCGGGAGGTAATTGAGCTGGTAGAGGATATCCATTAAGCTTTCGATAGATCAAATGCATGGCAACCGCAAATTCATCCATGTTAAGCTTTCCCTTGTTGCCGTGATCCGATAAGGTCCAGATGCGTTCCAAGTCGGGCTTTTCAAGGCCACTCTGCCCGAAGACCTCGATAGCGACATCACCACCAATGAATCCTTTTCCAAATCCATCCCAAGCTTTGAAGACGGAATCGTACCTAGTCTTCTCTTCCTTTGTAACTGCCCATGGAATGACGGCATTGCCTGTTATGCCAGCTGTAGTAAAATTGCCTTGTTCTCGGCCTTGCTGCGGCATCATCCGAGATTGTAGTAGATCGATGTTAGGCAAACCAGTTGCAGGCGCATTGACCAATCCCCATTGACCTGGGACTCCTGTAGGTTGGCTATTCAGCGGAGCAATCATGCCGCCTTGCATACCCGTCTGAGCAGGAGACAGATTGGAACTGAAGTTTGATGGCATAGGGGGCATTGGAGGGCGCGGTCCAGTATATCCCGTTGCTTGAGGGTTTGACATATTCTGACTGAATCCAGTTGGCTGAGGCTGCAATCCTCCTTGCTGCCCAGGAAAGCCAGTTTGCATTGAGCTCTGGAAACCTGTCGGTTGCGATTGAAACCCACCGGAGAAGTTATTTTGCTGTCCAGGGAAACCAGTCATTTGCGCAGTGAGTAAAGCAGAATTTGACGGCATTGGCTGTGGCTGCTGGATAGTCGGAGGCGTTGCAGTACTCTGTCGACTATCAAAACTCGGCGCATTCGTTCCTGCTGGCCCATCATCTTCTATAGCAAAATTTATGATATCTACCATGCTAGAAACTTCATTCTTGATCTGATCGGGAAGTACCGAGGGTAGTGACTTGCCGACGAGCTTAAGATTGCAAAGGTACATTGCCAATGCGAACTCGGGGAAATGTAATTGTCCAGATCTTGTAGTGTCTGCGAGCGTCCTATAATAATTATTAGCATAGTAATATAGGTATATATCGGATAATTCTATGCTTACCATATTTGCGACAATGAGTTCCCATCTAACTTTGAGCGCAGTAAGAGATCCCTCGATTTCTCGCCAGACAATGTTTGGCCGTCTCCGACTGCGGACTTGAAAAGGGTTTCAAACTTCGCTTGATCTTGGGCTGTAATGAACGAAAGTCTTATACTGGGTATCTTTGCTCCACCCTTAGAGGCTCTGCGTCCTCTTGGCTTCGATGGTTCTGAAGCAGATTTGAATGAATCTGCCATCGCTGCAAATCCCGTGGCTTGCGGTTGCTGCACGGGAGCTGCTGGAGATGGCTGGGCTTGCTGTATTTGTTGAGGCTGCTGCTGGAATTGTTGTGGAATCTGCGGCATTGGCGGAGCTCCCGTCTGGAAGCTCTGCTGTTGAGGAGCATTGTTGAACTGCTGCTGGCCTCCGGGAAACCCTGATTGAGGCGGCTGAGAATATCCTGTAGGTTGTGCTTGAAGAGGATAACCTGTGAAATTGGGTTGCAAAGGAGCGACGTTTCCGTACCCAGTGGGTTGAGGTTGGAAACCAGTCTGTTGTGGCTGGAAGCCAGTCTGTTGTGGTTGGAAACCTTGATTTGGCTGAAAACCGCCATACTGTTGCTGTTGCTGTGGTTGTTGTTGTGGCGGTTGCCGGCCACTATTACCACCTAGATACGAGTTCGAACCCGAAAACATTATGAGTATGGACAAAAAGAAAATAGGTATCAAGGAAGGTAGATTTGTGACAATTGTTTGAAGGAATGAGTTAGAGGTAGGTAAAAGATGCCACGGGCCTGGGGGCGGGAATGACGAAGCTCAGGTAATCTGTTAGAGGCTGGGCTTAGCGACTATTTAATACCTCCAGCGCAAGTTTCACCGTTGCGACAAAATGATAAGATAATCATCTGGATAGGAAAAGGGGCTGAGGTAAAGTGTACGGTATCATTAATTCAACATTGTTATTTCAACACCAATTAGAAATCATTGTAAATGTTTCGTACGTTTTGAATCACTATTAAGCATTTTGGTGCGAGAAAAGTCATTTATTGAAGCTACATGCAGTCAGATACACAAGCACCTGCATTATCTAAGTTGGTACCACAAGCTTTAAAGCTTTCTCTACATCAATTATGGCTCTTCATCTCATTCTGACATAAGCCACGAATATAGTCACACATCTGGCTCCATGTGTTCCCATCGATAAATATATGGATACTTGGGTATCATATTCAGGCTCTCCCAGCCGCTTTACGGCTTCTAAGATAGTCATTCATTCGTTCATTCATTTATGCGCTAGCGACGTCTTCCTTGACATCACCTGCTGATTTCTTGGATCGATATGCCTGAACATCAGCTTTGGCGGCAGCTAGTGCACCAGACAATCCAAATTGTGTGGGAATTCCCTCAATGCGGTGGACGGAGTTGAGATTCTTGACCAAGGTAATTTGGTAACAGGTGGCAGATCCTTGGCGGGAGATGATAGTGGAGGAAGCAAGGAAGTATTCCCAAATCTGAGTTTGTCAGTATGTGCGTATAATTGTGCGATTATGAAGAAGACTTACTCTGAACCATCTGTTGCCATACTTGGCGACAACCTTTTCCTTGTTGGCCATCCAGTTTCTGTACCATCTCCACAATGTTGCTGAGTAGTGGACACCAATAGTATCAACACCCTTAACCTCGAATCCAGCGCTCTCAAGGGAGTTGATGTAGTTATTGAGAGGAGTAGAAGCGTCAGCACCAGGGAAGATGTATTTGTTCATGAAAAGACCCCAGATGAGATCTTCGTATTGCCAAGTCTTTCTCAAACCAGCTACTTGAAGGAACATGACTCCATCATCCTCGAGCATGTCGTGACATTGCTTCAGGAAGCTTGTCAAGTGTCGGATACCAACGTGTTCAGCCATTTCGAGACATGTAATCTTGTCATAACCTCCTTCAGGGACAGGAATGTCACGGTAATCCATGCACAAAATCTTGCTTTGTTCTTCAGGAATACCAGCTTTGCGAAGTCCATTGTTACCCCAAGCAGTCTGGTTGCGACCAAGAGTGATACCAGTAGCCTTTGCACCGAAGTTAACACTGGCGAATTTGGCCAAAGTTCCCCATCCGCAACCGATATCCAACATCTTTTCACCGGGCTTGAGACCAATCTTTTCACAAACGATAGCGAGTTTGTTGTCTTGTAATTCCTCCAATGTCTCTTCGCGATTAATGTCAGAGATAACACCGGAGGTATAAATCATTCGTGGACCAAGGAACCAGCCATAAAAGTCATCACCTCGATCGTAGTGATCACGGACTTGTTCTTCATCTGCGATATCGTTAGTAGCTTTTCATTGAAGCCGAAATTAGTACTTACCCTGAGAACGGGTGTGCATGATAACCTCTGGTGCAAAGTTGAAGAAGACATATTTGAAAAGACTAATTGTGAATTTGAAGCTTGCCCAGTCATGTCGGTATTCGAGAACCTCAAGAGCATCGCCATTGAAGTCAACCTCTCCATCAAAGTACATGTTGTGGAAAGTTTCCATGGGAATCTTGCTTTTTCCACTGTATTTTAGCTTATCGGCTTCATTTTTGAAGGTAAGATAATGCTCGACCGGGCGCCCTGGGTATTTTGCCTTTTCATTCTTGCGTGGGGAGAAGCTGGAGAAAACTGTCCAGAATGCGAGGAGAATTGGGATGGTGGTGATGAGACCGAAGAAGATGGTGGTCTTGAATCCACCGCCAACCTTCCAGGAAAAGTATAGAGGGACACCACCGATGAGGGAGAAGAGAAGGGTGTTCGAAAAACTATCATTGCCAGAAGCATCTGCAGGCAGAGGGGCGTTCTTGATAGCAGGGTACTAATTGATCCGATATATTAGATTCAATTGACATTTGTGCTCAGACAAAATTGAAGTTGACAGATATGGGGAATGGGAAAATTCTGGGAATTTTTATTTACTTACAGCTGTTGTTCTTACACCACATGGCTCGAACTTCTCAAAGGTTGGTGTAGGGGCTTTTGGGGTCTCGATAAACTCGAATTCGCTCTCAGAGCCATTGACACTCTGAGGATTGGAGGTCATCTTTCCTTTTCGACTTTCCTTTGAAGGTGTAAAAGAAAAGAGAAAAAGAAATGTTTTTTTGCAATGGAGTTTCACCAGGTACGAAGGTGACAACAATCTACCTAGCTAGAGCAGGTACGTTTGCCGATAACCTAAAGCGTGTTAAGTTTGAGAGACGCTAATGGAGGGGCCAATAACCTTACCTAGTGGTATTCCGTACTCCATATACCGTAGTATTGACGATTGATTGGAGCTCAACAATGTGCACGGATCATTTTGGCTCAGACTACGGAGTCCACGGGCTTTTTTATTCTCTTCTACCGATGTTTCTACATATCTAATAGTGAATAGGGGACAATAAGGAAAAATAGCCCTCAACTCAACCAATTCATTCATTCATTCCATTAGATAGAATGTTTTGGAAAGGAGTAGTTTGTCGAAAGCGTTATTTGTGGTGGTAATTAAATGGAGGAGACATCTTAGGCATTTAGGAGCAACACTTGTGAGTCCAGTCTACTATGAACTGAGGCTACATCAAGGGTTTCGCAGGTTATTTGATGCGGGAGATCTTTACTCATTCGATGAGGCATATGCTGGTGGGTAATTCTCTGATTACATATACTAGTTCATTTCTAGTTTCTAATTTGAAGTACAGGAAGTTGCTCTTCGCATAGATTAGTTTCAGGTGTCACCTTTGATTGAACATGTTTGTTAAATGGCAGGAACCACATGATACAAGAGAATACATTTTCATTTGCCATAATCAACCTCCTATTTCTTACCTCAACTCTTCTTTTTTTTAAATGTGCCGTGGTACGAGTTATCTAGAGCTAAGTATGTGTTGGGAGATAATGAAGAACTAAATATCAAGAAGCTTCGCCCTCTCACTCGCTCTTTTCTTCTCTCTCGGCCCATCCTCCTGCCATAAATTTGCAAACCATGCTGCTTGACCAATAATCCACATTATGAATTTGGATCGGAATACCCTGTCTGGAAACCCCTCCGGCACGCAATCTACATAATTAATTGAAGATAGCTCACCACCTTTCGGATTTTCGGTCAAGATACCGATTAACATCTGCCGATCCGGGACTGTGCTGTAACCTGGTGTTATATGTTATCTGCGAGTCTGGAGGACAAATTCAATCTTAAAATCGAATAATAATCAAGTTGGCTCTGTATAATGGGCCTTTATACCAGTATAATAACTCTCACAATGACAAAGTCGTTTATACCAACAGAAGGGCTAATGTACTCCACAACCTGTCTGTAAATAGCTACAAGTACTTCAGAAGAACGTGTTACTGGTAAGAACATATCATAAACAATCACAACAGCGAAACCAGTAACTTCCTTTCTTTTCAATATAGAAAGTCTACAATATTAGTTGAGATAAATCATAAATCTAATGAGCGATGCAAAAGTACTCTCGCATATCATGACGATAGGAGACCAGGCTGATGTACCTAGTATATATATCTCTGAGTTCATAACCATGAATGCAGATCGATTGGCTTACAGCGAAAATGAGCTGGGCTAGCAATACGTTTGCATGCAAGTTGTCTCGCTCAATGAATATTCGACATACGAAGTAATGTTAAACGATATAGTAATTTGGATAGATGGATGGCATAGAGTAACTTAGCGGGTGGAAGAAAATTGAACTGTGCATACCTACTGGATTCGAATGCTCGAAATAATATTGAGTATGGTTACATCCCCCTAGTAGCTGTATTCTTCCCTTCCCTTCTCTTTCAATTGCTTCTGGCCAGAGTATGTATAATACAGTGTTGATGTTGTAATGAAATCTATTCGTAGGACCTTCCATATAGCATTCTTACCAATTTTCCCAGGACATATGGGAGCGACTATCATTGGTGAAGATAACAACATTTCACTCCTACCAATACACGCCTCATATTTGGGACCGGCTTGTGCTACTTGAAATAGGGTGATTCATGATGATTCACGCAAAGGATTAATTAAATGTGATAAAGGCACCATTTCAACACTCGTGAGGTTTCTCATGTGGCGAACATCGCAAATAAGATGAAGATAATGGAGCAAAGCTCAATATTGATGGAAATCCTTCATCGGAGGGTATCTTATTCGCTATCATCACTGCTACTATCTGCTCTCTCCTCATCATCATCCTCGTTTATCTCGATTTCTTCATCCTCTACTCCTTCAGGAGTCGGTAACATTACAAATGCCTTTAAACATGTAATACGATTTCCAGTCTCGTATGTGCCAATTAGTTTTCCGACCTGGTTTACTTTCTCTCCAATTTGAGCCAAATCCTTGGCGGCAGATAATTTGTAGAGTCTGACTGCACCGTCACTACTTGCTGCCACAATGATGATGTATCTTGAAGCGCCCTCTCCAATATTCAAAACGGCAAAGTCCTTGATACGCCCGGATACACCGTAATCTTTCCCGCCAAGTTGCGCGAAGAGTTTGGCAGCTGCTATTGGCTGTGTTTTGCCTTCCGCTGCTTTTGTAGTCTCCAGATCTTTGGGATCTGTAGAGTAAAATAATATTCTTCCATCCTCCGTCGAAACAGCCAAGACTTGGGCATCTTCATCATCTCCCACCTGAACGTAAGAAAGCTGATGGATCTTGGTCCTTGGTGTAGGGACTACCTTGCACCTAACTTTGCAGTCCATCCCGAAAATCAGCAGTCCCTTTTCAAATCCTACACAAAACTCCTCTCCGCCCTCTTTAGTATTGCCCCAGGCGACTCTCCTTCCCTCTCCACTACTAAATCTTCCTTCTCCTACCTCGCCTAACATATCTCTCTCAAAATTTAGCACGCCCGCCTTTTTTCCCGTAACCAAGTTCCACAATCTCATAGACTTCTCTCCCTTACCCACACTAAGCATGAGTTTCATACTCGGATGAACCGCGAAGTCATTCACTCCACTAGGCTGTCCCCCAAGCGGGGCAGTATCACCACTAGGCCTGCCCACCGCTTTCGGTATGGGTGCCTTGATAGTACTCAATAAGCTCCAATCCCTTGTTCGCGTAACTGCAATTGTCGAATCTTCAGCAGAACTCATCAGTTTGCTCCTAGTTGGGAAATAGAGGGCGGTTATTGAAGAGGCATGGTGCAGCAGGGAACCAAGCTCGCGATTTTGAGGATTTTCTACAACAGCCTTGGCCGTGAGAGAAGGAATTGCAGGGATAGATATTTTAGATGGAGGGTGTGCGGATATGTGGTAGAGGTTTATGCGCTCGTCAGTACTGCCAGTAGCAAGGATTATTTTTTGTGATTGTTTAGGAACTGGCGCAGAGGGAGGAGAGAGTGCTAAAGTTCGAATGGCAGAGGTATGAGCATTGAAGAGGAAAGTATCTGCGAATTGGACATCATCGTCGGAGCGTATTGTCGTAGTGATGCCATGAAGGACTCTGTCGTAAGATCCCGTTATGATTTGAATGGTAGTCGGCTTGGAGGAATTTGATTTGGGCGTGGTAGACTGCTTCAATTTCTTCGATGGTAAAGATGATGCTGGTACTGCAGGCACCGATTCTGTAGGCGTATTTCTCTTTCTTTTTGCCATGTCGTGTTTTGTAATGGGTTTTCACTGAGTGATTGAGTGACTAGATGAGAAATCAGCCTTTGAGAAAAAAAAGGCTCCCAGGAACTTCTGAGGTGGTGCTAAAAAATTATTACAGGGCTACCTGCATGGGATTTGCATGTAGCAGGGCCGCCTTTAGAGTTAATGCGTGCTGCTTTAACAAGTACGGCAACATTTGGGTCGCTTGATTACGAGAACTTCTGCTCATTCTCGACTTCACTACCTACAAACTAATACCTTCATAAGATGTTGCTTCAGGTTACTGGTATCACTCATGTTCCAATACTCAATATGAATAGCTGTACCTAGTATAAAAAGCCATTCTATTCAAACTTTATGTTTCCACTCGGTCTAGATGCCAGGTTAGCATAAGGCTAGCATCTTGAATCTTAGAACTATATGGTTTTCCAGCACGCACTAACCATCCTTAGCCTTAAGCTTGTGGAATTCGGTAGTTGTGGTACTTGTCTTACGGTTAGGAATGAATTCTCAAGACTTTAGTAATTCCCTCAAATTATACCCATTCTATGATGAAAGCTCATGACTAACCGGCCTGTGGTGAACATTGACTAATTCCTAATCGGGGAAATCAAATGTCGCCGGAAAGGGATTGTTCCTTTACCGACTTTGATAGAAATACAATCATTACTTAAAATCTTACCTTTGGAATAAAATTCTGAATTTCCAAATTAGAGTCAATTGTATAAAGATGATTATATAATATTGGAAAACTGATCAAAGTAATCATATGTTATTACTACTTACTGTATGTACCGGGATATTTCGCCTTGCGCGAGTATTCGTTTTTCCCGATCAGGAATTAGTCTGCTGTTTATAAAAGTCGACTATATACCTAGCCAAATGTAACGAATGTGGAAGAATATGTAATCAGCACGCCAACTCGATATTTCAAACTTGTTGTTTGATAACACATCAGATCAGTTGACGCTAAACCACCTACTTTTCGATATCCTATCTAATCACAACTTTCAACTTAATCGCAATCATCCTACGCCGTCCGCTCTGACACAGCTTTCAGTCAATGAACCACTATTACATGAGCTTCGACCCTTCTCCATTAACAGAAGCATCCATGGGGCGACACAAATTATAGCCAGCCGCCTGCTCCCATAGCTTTGATTCTCGGCATCATCTAACATCATTAATGCTAAAGATGATCTTTTCAAACTCCACGACAAATAGTTTACAGCACTTTTCTCACTGCTCTGTTCGCTGTCGCCAACCACAGTCCTTCAAAGCGACGGCAGTTGTACAACACATGGAGATTCGAGCCTATCAAAATCATATATTATTAATACGAGCCGAATCACTTGGGTTCATGTTTGTGCTTCCGATTCCGAGAGGATAAAACTTCAATGCAAGGAATTTACCCCAGATAAAGTTTAGACGAGTAGATCGTCCCAATTTAAGTCCCGTGCCTCCGACCCTCCGACGTTTTCTTGGCAAGCATTCACATCTTAGACATGTGAAATATTGAGGAGCTAAACGAAGCCTCGACCTACAAATAACTTGGGTGCATGACTCCCGTCTCTCCTGACTTCTTCAATACCAAAAAAGCCGTACCTATTTTTCTCGCTCCTATTAGTTACCTCGAGAGTCCCTTTTATACACCCCATCTATTCTTCACCTCTACTTTGTCACTTCATTCCTGAGCAGCTTAATTGTGCTACACCCATCAAGTAATGTATATTTGAGTTTGAAGTAGAGTAAACACATTCAAAGGTACCTCCCCATACTCAACAATAGTCCTTCTCCTCTTCACAGACACATCAATTGAGCAATATTGTACACGGATATAGACCTTGGATCACTGGTTGTGATGTACATGTAACATTTTGTTGACTGAGAACAGATCATTTATACATCTTCCGGTTCATTGCCCCTTTGTAAATCTTGGGAAGAAAGTATCTCCGTCTGTCATCGTCAGCATTATTACAAGAATAAGGTCCAAATGGCTACCCCGCACATATATCGCCCAAAGCCACGTCGGCCTTTTGAAGCACATTCTCTTGCCCTCCAACAACCTCCAAGTCCTTCGCTTACTCCTTCATACGAATTCCTCGAAACACCAAGCCGCACTCATTCCGTCCTCAATTTGACATCCTCCACCTTGGGAGGTATATACGAGGCCAACGGTCATGATGATTTTGAGCCAGAGACGCCTACCACTCCATGGGAAACAGGAGACGAGAACTCCCAACGGAAGCGTAGCTCTACAATCCAAAGGAGACAATCTTTTGCTGGAGCCCGGGCTTCAAGGCCCGCAACTATAGCTTCTCGGATCTTTCGCTCCATTCTGTTATTTGGGTTAGGGGTGCTATATGGACTGCTTGTAAAACATCTACACGATGACCGACATCTTGCGCCACTCCAAGTGGAGTCGATTATAAAACCCAGTCATGATTGGAGATATCTTGTATTTTGGGGCATTGCAGGTGTTGGATTGGGAAGCTTGCTACCATTGGTCGACAAACTGTGGGAGGAGAAGATTAGATCACCTCAAGGAACCTCCACAAGTACTTCATCAGAAGAAGCAATTGATGTCAGCGACTCGCAAAGTATTCTTGGGGAAGACTGGATATTGGCAGTAAGGAGCGTGGGCGCTTTTGTAGGAATCGCTTTTGCCATTGTACGTCCCTTTTCGATACATTGCTGAACTTTATTAACATTCTCTTAAGCGCAAACTTCCGTGGGCTTCTGATATGCAAGCATCCTTAACCCTCGCCCTCGTTAATCCAGTGTTATGGTATATCATTGACCGTTCCAAGCCTGGACTCGTGTTTTCAGCCGCTATTGGTGCTACTGGCAGTGCAATTCTCCTTGCATCGAACTCAGATTTAATGCCGAGCCCGGCTGCTGCAGTGAAGAACAGCACCGTATCTCACCACCCAATTGATTATTCGGAGGCTGGATCCGAGAATTCGATGGCTAGGGGTAATCTTGAGGCTGGGATATGGATTTCTAGTGTTCTTTTTTGCAGCTGTGTTTGTTTTGGGAACATTGGGCGAAGGTTAGCGCTGAATAGCGACATGAGGAAGACCTCGTTTATTAGCGAGCAACCGAGAAGAAAGTCGATGGGACACGTCCAAGCAGCAAGACAGGCACAATAGAAAGTAAGCCGATGTCTTCCTTGCTCGATACCTGGATACATTAAGATTGAGGAAAAGCTGCAAGTGTTATAGAGAGAAATTTTGAATCATTTTTCCTTTCTTACACAGCGCGTTCTGTCAGAGAAGAGGGATTATTTATTGCATATGCACAAGAAATCTCGATCCAGAGGTTGTCCCTTTTGAGATACTTAGGGATATTGGTTAGGTATTGGTAAATTGAAGTCAGAAAGAAGAATGCAGCTGCAGACTGATCTGTATTATGAAGCCGCCGCTAAAATCATTGCAATCTATCCATTATGGACGGAGAAAGCCCTAATATTTAATTTGATCCAAAGCTACGGGCAGATAATATGACATGGAACAAGTGATGATATTCAGCTTAATCCAATATTTGAATCTCGAAGCAGAAGGGAAAGATGCACGGTAGCTGATACTCAGAATTTTTCAGGAATGGAAAGGACGACGTGAAGATAATGCGTGTAAGGAAGAATACATTTCTAAATATGTATATAGCAACATTCATTCATTTCTATCCCAATGATAGTTTTATTTGACTATCTAGGCAGGTATTTTGCTTCAGTCTCAATTCTTACTACTCTTTACCTATACTCTGTAGAGAATTCCTGGATTATCTGATAAATAACTCGGGACTTTAGTTCGAACGATTTATACATTCCACCTCCGACCTCTTTAATGGGGACCATTCAAACTCTTTTTGCCATCATCTCAACTGTTGTTTCGATAAATAACTCGGAAATATATCTGGATATGTAAGATCTTATTAGCACTACATTACCTGTTCTTCCATTACTAAAAACCCTTCAATGTTGACACGGGTATGGCATCCTTCACGCTCTGTCCCCTCTCCCCTCTTCCCCTCCCCTCGAAAGACCCTCATCTTTTTTCCCCTCTAGCGTTATCGGTTATGATGCAACACAAAGATATCCACGAAACATTTCGGTCACCACCTGGATAAAATAGTTGAAAACTTAACAGCTTTCCCCATGATACCTGGGCCAAAAAGACTTGAAAGTATCTCCAAACTCAAAAGAAAACTTGTAAACTTTATCTTGAGAAAGAAAAATATGTGTTAAAGGTTATGACGCTCCTCCCGGGGGATCGCTTAAAGTGCCTAAACTCTCGGATTGCCTATGCTTGATTGTCCTTCCCATGCAATTTTTGAACACGGTGATAGAGCAATTTGAACACCCATCTACTATCAATTCACAACCACGAGTTTTCATTTCATTAATTCTTTGAAGCATCTCAGAATCTTTCATTAAGATCGGGACTCTATCCGTTTTTTTGAAAAACGGATGTCGCGGTCGCGATATTATGAGTGAGGTTGGAGCATCCTATCGCATACCTCTTTTACGATCAAAACGCGATGAAGCAAGGTAATTCAATTATTTTAATTTAATTCGATTTATGTCGCATCATTTTGTGCATCTTTTGATATTATTTGTTTAATACTAACCGTGCTAGTCGAATTGATGCATCGAGGAAGAGGAAGCTTCTCGAGTTATTCGCGGTTTGCGACAATGAAGGCCCTATACCTAAAATTTCTAGGATAGACCCCAATGCTCCACCAACCACCGCCGCCGAAGCACAATTTCTTGAGGCTTGCGATATCTTACAGTATGTACTATAATTCCAGAAACCACGAATTCTAGACTTACTGCAATCACTGTGCCGCTCAATTAGTTTTTAAACTAATATCATTTATAGGGACCGGCCCTTCAATGAATCAAATCTACCCAACCGACGACAGCTTAAATTCGATTCCCTAAAACAAATATCATCAGTTCGCCAAGCGGGTAAAGATCTCTCAGCAAGTGATGGACCCAATAAAATAGAACATTATTTCAAGCGCGATGGGATAATACCTCGGAAGAACCGTGGAAGTAGTCCAATCGAGAACAGTAATGAAGGACGAAACATCGAGAAAAATGGGAATGACGTTGGAGCAACACCAGGGGCGGCTGCAGTATCCATGCAAAGATCGTCTCCGAAGAGCTCGCAAATTGGTCTACCAAGAGAGACTTCTGCCGAACTAAATACAACAGTGGAGGAAACATTTAAAAGTGCTAGTCGACCAGCGACAGCAGCACAAGAGGTACAGCCTGCTTTGACGAACAAGGATTTTGAAATCGACCGTATTAAAAGAGTTGTTGAAAGTCCTCCTGGAAGTCCTGGGGTTGATCCAAGGAAAGCAGTGCCGCCATCTCCCGAGGATGTTGCAAATCTGCAAGAACCAGTTATTTTTGGCGCGAATGACGAGAATCATCATGCTGCGACTGCCCATTTACCACCGAAGGAGGTTCAGGAAGCTCGACTAGAAGAGATTGAGAAGGCACGCGATCATAAGGGGGAAAGGCGAAGGCAATCAATTGCGGATCCTCTCAGAGCTTCTGTGGATCTAGTTTCTTCCCCAAGTTCAACAATAGATGCCCATTCGACCACTACCCCTGCGCGACATGATGCCTCTGCGGGGACAAGTCCAGAGAATGACAATTCTCGGTCCGGATACCTTGAACGCCCAGACGATGAGATTGATGGCAAGATCGCAACAGAGTCGAGGTCTATTCGCGAGGACGTTGTCCAGAAGGATGTGCACGACAGAAAGCAGAAGGCTCAAAATGAGATCTCTCGTACTGAAGTACTTGGTAGTAGTTCCATATCAGCTGATGCTCAGCTACGTATGGAAGACCAAGCCGCATCTGGCTCCATAGTTCCTGTGGTTGCTGAAATAGCAGATTCCCAAGCCTCGAGTTCACAGGACGTAGAGGAACCTAAATTACTTGCATCCGAGATTAGTAATGTCGAGAAGGAACCCACCAAGGACAAAAATGATGTCAGCGCAGACGTCCTGCGACGAGATAAAACCCGAAGTGAGAACTCTCACGCAACTCCTAAGATGGAGGAAGTACCAGACTCTGAGGGCGATGGACAGACACCACAAGACGCTATGGATTTGGACGTGGCAACTGTGAAGGATTCATTCGAAAGTCATACCACCCTGGACAGTAGTGCTATCCTAAATACAAAAGCATCGGCTCCCGCTGGAGAGGCTTCAACACAGCCATCATCGAATACTAAATCGCCACCATCAACACCAGCTCCTATAACACGCAAAACATCATCCACACCCGCACCTGTTCAAGTACCAATTGAGCGTATGACAACAAGGGTCGCCTCCGGGGCAATAAGACATAAGTCTGTATCCGAGATTTTAGGTGAAACGCCCGCACCAAACAACTCCCCAACTTCGATAAGAAGTCCTACTAGCAAGCCGGATACTGGATCGGCCGCTGACTCACCTTCAAGAGGGAGTACCCCAGGATCTACTCGTAGCCTGCTCCAGAAAGCCAAAGAAAAGAGCCAAAGTCGTCTTTCAACTGTAGTGTTTGCTAAAAAGCCTTTCGGTTCTAGAGCTAATGATGCTACTATGACAACTATAGGAGCGCATCTACAGCAAGCACACCCCCAAGATGATTATTTTGCGTGTCTGTATCTCAATAGCCATAATACACAAAAAACAGGCTACCCCCCTCTGGATGGTCTCCTACAGACTGCTCATAAAACCATCACGACCTCAAATGCTTTTGTGCCCATTACTGAAAATCAAACGACAAGGATTTTAAAGCGCATATATGGACTTCAGAACAATCACAAATGGTCTTTACGCCAGCCGAAGCGATCCGAGGAACCCGTTCGACCAACTACACATTGGGATGTTCTTCTTCAAGAAGCCAAATGGATGCGGACAGATTTTCGAGAAGAACGGAAGTGGAAAATGGCGGTGGCCAAGAACCTGGCATATGCTTGTGCAGAGTGGGTTGAAGCTAGCCCCGAGGAACGAAAAATTCTACAAGTGAACGCTACTCGCCAACCCATATCCTTGGCAGAAATCCCTGAAGATGTTGAAATGGGTGATGCGACGAGTCAACTTCTCCCCCGTTCAACTCCCGAGCTGATTCCCTCTGCAGAAGCCGATTCGCCAATGGACGACGTTGACGAAGAACTTCGCCTCACTATTACGGATACTGTCAGCCCCACTGCGATATTTGGTCTCCAGGATGATGATGTTGTTTTTGGACTGAGTAGGTCACCAGCGACCGATAAACTTTTAGAGGAATTGCCTTTATATGGCGCTCCATTGAGCGTTCCTTGTAATGACTTGCCTACCTCTAAAGTTGATCCTGATCGCTTCTGGAGAAGGCCCGCGGTTGGTATCAGTAAGTACGTAGAGGGCAGGATGGAACTAAAATTTCAAGGGCCTCCGCGCAAAAAGAGCAGATTTGAGTACGAAGAGGACAGTGACGATGAAGATGTAGCAGTGGACCAATCTAGGCGTGAGAGATCAATTTTACCACCCGAGCAGACCAATATAGGTTTATTCGACCCCGCCAACAAGCATATCCGCGACCGCATTCATGCCGGACATCAATTCCGACCGCCTTCAGAATTTCCAATGCCAACGCAAAGTTTCTTCGAATGCCGTCAATGTTCACTATGGACATTTTCTGAGGACGAAGAGTTGGAGAGACTTGTGCGAGAGTATGCTTATAATTGGTCACTTATTTCCAATATGTTATCAAGTCGATCGCTACAGTCATCAGGTGCCGAGAGACGTACGCCTTGGGAATGCTTTGAACGCTGGATAGCTTTAGAAGGTTTGCCTGCAGACATGCAAAAGACTGCATACTTTAAAGCCTACAACAACAGATTGGAGGCAGCTCAACGAAATCTACAGGTCATGGCGACTCAAGTTCCCCAACAGCCCACCGCGAATGGTCAACCAGCCGCACCTCGGAGGCGAACTACCACCAGCCAGCGTGTGGAAAAACGGAGAAACCAAAAACATTTAGCATTAGTTGATGCCATGAGAAAATTAGCGAAGAAGCGCGAGAATTCCGCTCAGAAACAGCAATTATCTGCCGCACAGGCCGCTGCAAGGAAGCCAGCCGAGCAACCCCAAACATGGACACCCATCAAGACTCCCCAAGAATTTAGCCGTTTGAAACATGACCGAGATGAGCAATTAAAGAAAAGCATGGCTGCCTTCCAACAACGACAGGAACAAGTCAGAAGGGTAAGTTGATACAAGATATTAACCAAAGACTATGCGAGACATACTAACATCTGACCAGGAGGCGCAAGCTCGCCAAAGAAATGCAGCTCAGCAACAGGCTCATCCTAATGGCTTGCCACAACAACGTGGACCTGCTCTTCCAAACGGTCTCGTTCCTCCGATTAGCCAGCCAAATGGAAACGGCCATCTCACTATTCCAGGACAGAATAGACCCCGGCCTCTTCCACCACATATGGGTGTGACGGGGCCGATGCCTAACAACCTCCGCATTCCACAAGCAATGTCCAACGGTGTCCCACAAGCTCAAATGCAGGGAGGTTTACCCTTAAATCCCGCCCTTACCCCTGAACTTGCAGATGGTGCTCGTCGTGTATCCTTACAACAGAGACAACAACAGATGCAAAATATGACGCAGCAACAGGGTAGCCCACATCCAGGACAGGCTCAAAACTCCCCTTCACGAATGAATGGCATGCCTACGCAGCCTGGATTTATGCCCAATAATATGACATCCTATAATAACAACAACATCAACGGTATGGCTGGTTCTCCAGGTATATCAACGCCTTCTCCTGCTCAAACAAGCTCTCCTCGAGTAGGCTTACCTCCTTCGGGAATTCCTAACGGCGGTCTGCCTCCAAACATTCCGTATCTGGAGATAGAACGAAATGTCAGGAGAGCTAACCCACACGCATCAGCCAGCGAAATCCATAAATTGATGGGTGAAAACATAACTGCGTTTAACAACAACAAACACTTGCAACAACGAGGTTTAGTCCAGCCTCCAAGCGGCATAGCAGCAAGCGCTATGAATGCAGCGGCTGGCAACAATAATTTGGGAATGAATGGTCAAGGAGGACAGCGGCCACCGATCGGCATTGAGAACGCTAGCCCGCAGATGTATGCCCAAATGTTGAGCAATCATCACCAACAGAGATTACAGAATAGCCAGCAGCAGCAGCAGCAGCAGCAGCCCTCACAAGCTACAGGGAGCCAAAATCAAGGACAAGGGGCGCAACAAAATGGAGGAAAATGAAGCGTCGATTTATCAATTGCGACGAAGTAAACGTTGTATGTACATGGTTTGCCCTATCAAGACGCTTTAAAAGGACAGTGGTAGAAGTATAAATAGATCTTGCTAGGCTCTTATTGGAGTTTAATTGCATGCAGCCAGTTTTGCTGACAATGCTGGCAGATGAGTTGAATGAAAAAGTCTCAATGATTATATGTCTGTAGTGAACCTTGTACTTTTTAAACACGCTCATTGTGAATCAGTGTGTTCTCTAATTGATCTGAAAATTCCTTATTAATATGAGATTATAGTAATAAAGAATTCCAGAGTAACATCTTTCGATCACTGATAAACCTATTTAAACCCATTTTATCCAATTCTTTTTCATTAATTTGATTTATGCTTGAATGGATTGATAAATACTCATTAACGGCGAGGCGACGTCTTGGTGGTCATAGCTTTTATCACGTGATTATGTACCTTATCCTACGGCACTTTCCCGCATGGAGTTTCTTATGATAACACAGCAATCTGAGCCGAAACACGGCATCTGCAGGGGTTTAAAAACCCTCGACTCCATTCTGAGACAGCCCCATGTACTTCATTACGTATATCTATTCATCACTGGATTATACCTTTTACTACATCTGATCATAGATCTTGCGACCGAGAATGTCGCCACCGAGCGATGCTTCCAAAATTTCTATGAAGGGTTTCTCCTTGGGCGCAACGTCCAAAAATGGCTCAGCGAAACCAAACAGCAGACCACATCCTAAATCTGGCCTAGGAAAGCGACCTAGAAACTCTTTCGCGCACGATGAGGAAGATTCCGAGGATTCGGATTATGGCACAAGTGCGAGAAGAGGAAAATACGAGGCTGTTACTGGGTTTGCGGATGGGGATGTAATTAAAGAGGGAGAAGAGAAGAGAGTGGCGGCTCCTCTGGTCATTCCGAAACAAGAGAATAGGGATTGGAAGGGAGAGGCAAGGGAGAGGAATGGCAGAGGAGGAGCAGGAGCGTCAAGAAGGAGGAATTTGTTACCGGAGGAGGAGCAGAAAAGGAGAGCTAGGGAAGGGAAAGATGACGGTGCGGATGTCTTTAATGGAAATGACGCGGAGATTAAGTGGGGATTAACTGTAAAGACAAAGGTCAAGGAGGAACTAGATGATGATGGGGGGACAATTGAGCAGGCGGCGGAAGTGGAAGAAGTAGAAAATAAGCCAAAGTTAAAAACAGAAGATGAGCTAGCAGTTGAGGCGTTGATGGGCTTGGATTCGAAACGAAAAGGGCCAGATTTGATTATCCCTTCTGTAAATGGAAATGGAGATGTCAATGAATTCGCTTTGGAAGAAGATGCGTATAGAAAAGCTATTGCATCAGCACCTGATGTTTCGACATTAGAAGATTACGAGGCGGTACCGGTGGAAGAATTTGGAGCGGCGCTATTACGAGGGATGGGCTGGGATGGCAAAGAGAGAAAGGGTGGTGGAAAGGAAGTAAAGAGGAGACAGAATTTACTAGGCCTAGGAGCGAAAGAATTAAAAGATGCAGAAGAACTAGGGGCTTGGGTGCAGAAGACTGATGCTAAAAGATTACGACCTGGAGGGTCGTCTTATTCACGTGGAGGAAGTGATAGAGACAAAAAAAAAATTGGTGATTACGCTAGGGAGAGGGATGAAAGAGCTTATCGTAGAGATAGAGACGAGGGTCGAGACAGGGAAAGGGAAAGGGACAAAGAACGTGATCGTGACAGGTCATATAGGAGAGATAGGGATGATTATAGAGAGCGCAGGAGATGATAGATCCGCTCGGACGTGTATCACATCATAGGCCCCACACAAGAATCGTGTATGGCAATAGCATGTGGGCGGAACGAAAATAGTACCCGTTTATCCTGGGGTAGCGCAATGTTATGTTGTAGAACAGTTTTCCGGCAGGCTCCGGAAGGCGGATGGAGCGAACAACTCGATATGCTTGCTTTTCCATTGTTACATTTTACCTTTGGTTGACGACGAACCCCTCTTAATTGTTACATTTTACTTTTGGCTGACGACAAGCCCCTCTTAATTGTTACACCAATGATTTTTTCTAGATAGCAGATTCAGGGAATAACTTGATCTGCTTGCTTTGTTGATATTACATTTTAAATTTGTAATTGTTTGAAATCACCCTCTTACTCGTTACATTAATGATTTTCTTCATACAGCAAATTCAGGAAATAACTTGATCTGATTACCTACTTTCTCGATATTACATTTTACCTTAGGTTGACGGCAACCCCCTCTTATTTGCTACACCACCAACGCATGACTGGCTCTTTTCATGTGCCGGCATTAAGCATACATATGCATATCAGGTAAAGTCAAACATGGTGCGGGATACCATTGGAAGAAACGCTGACCGTTGAACAAAATGTCTCGGTAAATAAGGTCATAAAACATGACCACCAACTGAAGGTACAGGCTCGGGAGGATGTTTACACCGGTTTCGCAAGGCATTTCAATTTTCAACAAATATTGATTGCTGAAGATTCAAGGTCTCTCACTGGTACCTTCCATTCCTATCAGCTCATTTCTCCACTATGATGGATCTACATACTCAGAGGGGGTGTCTTGGCTTTAGTCTTAGCCATTATTGCAATACACGTATCAGGGAAAAGCCATTCATCTTCTTCAATTGTATTTACGGCCTCGGACGACGGACAATATAATATGTGCGCTCACTCGTGTAGTAAAGGTTACAAAAGGCTCGCTCTGTCGTTCCTCAATTGCTCTCACACCAAACTCAGATCCTCAAGATTCTTGTAAGATCTTACCTTTTCTATTCAATATGGGATACTCCACGGGCATAGCCTTGAGTCATTCTACCAGCTCATTACTTGTAGCTATCTTAGCTTCTTATGTCGCGTATCTCATAGTCAGCGGCATAATACAATCACATCGTCGTCGTGTTAAAGCTAAGAAACTCCAATGTTTAAACCCTCCCGCCTTGAAGAACAGACTTCCTTTCGGCATTGACCAGGTGAAACGAAATGTTAACGCTCTCGCGGCGAATGCCTTCCCTGTCCACTGTCAAAATAACCACAAGGAACTCAAAACTCTCACCTACAGCACTTCAATACTTGGCAAGAACGGCTTCTCCACCATGGACGAAGAAAACATCAAAGCCATACTCGGAACACAATTTCAAGATTATGATTTGGGCCCAGAAAGACGCGACAACTCGATGCCATTCATAGGGGATGGTATATTCGCACAAGACGGGAAACCTTGGGAACATTCGAGAGCACTCCTGAGACCACAATTCGCGAGGGATAATATTACCGATCTAGACATGGAAGAGCGACATACCCAGGCTTTGCTGCAGGCTTTACCTAAAATTGGACAAAGTGGTTGGACAAGCGAAGTAGATATCCAACCATTACTGTTTCGACTCACATTAGACACAGCAACGGAATTTTTATTGGGCCGGAGTGTCAACAGCCAGCTTTTGGGAATGAAACCTGCTTCTGAAGTCAGTGATATAGATGATTTTGGCAAGGAATTCGATAATGGTACTAAGGCCATAGCGCAAAGAGCAAGATTTAATCCATATAGTGTACGTATGATTCGCCCTTGGCTTCAAATTCTCCAATCTTCAAGGCGCTTTGAACGCCTTATTTTCTGTATTATCTTTGCCCCTTACTACAGCCCAAACCATCTGTCTCCCCTTTTCGAAAATCCCCTGAGAGAGGATGGCCAAAATTCCGGGCTACAACTCAACAATGAGAAGATTTTGAATTCGTTTGAAAGAAATCCAATCTTCGGAATCATTTCAATTCCTCTGTAGCTCGCATTTTGATCTGCTGATCCGGACTACTAAACATCCTGTCCTAACATAGGCCATTACTGACTATTCCATATATAGTGGCTGATATGGCCGAAAGGATTCACGAAGGCTATCTCAGTTTGCCATAGAGCCATTGATCGGATCGTTGCCGAACATTTAGAGGAGATGAAGACTCCAGGAAAAGTCGAAGAGCCGGAGCGCTACGTCTTCTTCAAAGCCTTGGCAGAGCAAACACAGGATCCGCTAGAACTACGCACACATGTATTAAACATCTTGCTTGCAGGCCGCGACACAACTTCTTCGCTCATTGGATTTATCATTCTCTCACTTGCCCGAGATCCTGAGCGATACAAAAAATTACGCGATGTTATCCTGAACGACTTCGGAACTTTCGATGACCCAAAGAATATCACGTTCTTTAATATCAAGTCCTGTGCATATCTTCAATGGGTCTTAAAGGAAACCCTGAGATTATACCCAGTAGTGCCATGGAACCTCAGAGTAGCAAATAAAGATACTACCTTACCGCGTGGTGGAGGCAAGGATGGAAAGAGTAAGATTTTTGTGAGAAAAGGTTCAGCGATTGAGTATCATCCCTATGCTTTGCATAGGCGAGAGGATATATGGGGAAAGGATGCGGCAGAGTTCAACCCGGAGAGATGGGATGGGAAGAGGGTGGGATGGGAATTCTTGCCGGTATGTTCACTGAAGTCCCTTTTCTTGCTTTATGATATATCACTATCCTTTTTCACTTTCTTCCCTCTTTTCCGTTCAACCGGCTTCTACAGTTCAGGATCAGTTGAGACATTGAAATGTTCGGGAGGAGTAATTGATTACCTCTTCCCCCGTTTGAATGATCTATCCAATTATCATCGGCTCATCGATTGAGATGTCCCTGAAGGAGGGTTGGAACCGTATATCATGATTACGAACGAACTCACACTGACATGGCAACACAGTTCAACGGAGGACCACGTATTTGTGTTGGACAACAATATGCCCTTACGGAAGCAGGCGTCGTTATGATTAGACTGTTGCAGAAATTTGATCAAATTGAGAGTATGGATAAGGAAGAAGTCACCTTAAACCTGACGGCGACCATGTGCAGTGGAAACGGAGTAAAGATTAGGTTGCATGAGGCCAAGGCTTAGAGACAATGTAATGTACCCTTTCTCGAAAGAATATTTGCATGACTTTTTCATGATGGATTATTAGCCGATGGTTCATCACAGTGCCATGAATTTATCTAGGATCTTGCAACGAGATCTTCTTATCTGTCATGGATTAAGATTTTGGTCAGACTTAATTTGATCTTGGTTATTTATCACCGCTCAAAGTTTACACACTCTTTTGTATTTTTAGCTCTGTTAGAATGGACTTTTTATATAATAACCTGGTTTCATCTATTTACCTACCTATCTTCTAGATCGCAAATTTGATGCTTAGAATATCTAATCTATAAATTTGAAGGTTGATAAAAATCTAAAAAAAAATCCTACTTTTGAAGTTCTTAACTAGTATTAGTGTCACGAATCACGATTTGGATTATGGTAGTATTATAGATGTTGGTGATTTAGCTGCCGAAAACAGGGGGATGTGAATCAACCAGAGGCTTCATCATGTAATCCCAAATCTGCCTCAGGACACTAATCCTGGGACAATTCGTCTCCTAGGATAATTTAGCTTCTAGGACAATTGTCCTGGGACGATTATTATCCCAGGGCATTCTATCCTAGGACAAATACTATCCTAGGATACTTGCCCTGCATCATTGTGGTTGCCTAAACGTTTATCCTAGGATTATTATTATCCTGGGACACATTTTATCCTAGGACACTTGTCCTAGGAGCGTAGGCTCCTCAGGGCTCCAGGAAAGGGATCATTATATAATAGAATAGTTTCATAGCATAGGAGCTTGGTGCTCAACTTGGTTATCAATTAGTTTACCTACATTCTACTTGATCTAGTAACGACTTCACTTCCAAGTGAATACCAGTGATAAAGCCTTAACCCATAACTACCAACCAGACGAAACCTTAGGCAGCCGCTGCCTCAAGAACAGTATCATTACATTTATAACTAGGCGTCAAGCAGGGACTTAAGTAATGACAATAATGATATGCAATTCGTAACTAATAGTAGAGTATACTAAATGATTGATCTTGAGCACGAAGCTCTACGAATGGAAACCTATCCTTTATATAGAACTTTATACTCTACTGTATTCCTTTGGATCTCTTGGATCTACTGGATCTAGAGTTTAACTCTCTAGATCCTCTAGATCCCCTAGATCCATCACGTGATGTTAATCAGAACATATGTCTGTGCTTGCTGAAGGTGGGGAGACTCTATGAGTTAATTGCCATACAATTTTGTATGTGAATCGACTTGCTTTTCTACAGGGTCCAAGCTCATATGGACATGTTGACTGTTACTTCGTAACACAAATAGTCTATTGAAATTTATATATTTATTATTTATGATTAATAGAAATTTACTAGAAGTTGAAGATATTCTTGTTAATTTTATACAGGAAAAATATTATATTTGTGATTGAATATTATATTTAAAAAGTTACTAATAATAACCTGTATGTAGGAAAATATAACCCCCTCTGCAGGAACTCTATCACGAATACAATCGTGCACGGTAGACATATTTCAGAATTCTTACATTATCAAAGATGATGTTTTTAGGTCTCGCCATATAATAGAGCCCCTTTTTAAGCACCAAGTTTCTTCGCCGCACTAACTGCATGACCAAATGATGTCTTATTATCAATTGCACCCGCGCCAGGCCCATCCAATAACTTTCTAGCTCTCAACTCAAAGGCCTCAATCATCTTCGGCGCTACTTGGGGCGCAACCGCTTTACTCAGCGCCGTATATAATGGATTTGCAAATTGAAACTCAATGATTAAATGCACCTCTGTTTGATCCCTCGGTTCATGTTCGGTTTTATCTGTTTGTGGCTGGCCGCTTGGTGGTTGATAGTGAAAGGGCTTGAGAGACCAACGCGTGTTGAGACTTTGAAAAATCCCGTTCGCAGCGGCGGGGCTATGATAAGTTTCCGAGTGGTGTGCGAGTTTGGATTCCGGAATCGATGTGACGGCGTCGCCGCTGAGAGCTTCCACAATCGTGCCCGGGACGCAGAGGAGCTTGGATGTGAATGTTTCTTCAACGCCGGCCCAGCCTACGGTAAGATTTGCTTCGGCAGGCCATTTTTCACCGTTGGAATCGGGCGCTGACCACTTGGTTATACGGGAGGAGGTGCAGTAGGGAACGAAGGTGGAATAGCTGTCGACGTCGGCGATTAGGCTGTAGAGGGAAGAGGATTTGTAGGGTAAAATTCGTTTTTCGGTCAGAATCTGTGGTTCGGTGCCGGGTAGAGTAATGAAAGTTCGTTGGATTGAGGGGCAAAATGAACGAATGGCGGATGTTGGGCGCAGTGTGCGGAGCATGCCTCTCATTGGAATTGACATTTTGAGAAGATGGTAGAGTATTTGAAATGTTGCGGAGTAAGAGGGACGGATTGAGGGGATATAAATAAGCTGGTGATTTCAATTGAGGTTATAAGATTCGGAGCCTCATAACTAATCAATTGGCCACGAGAGTAGAAGTAACAAGTAACCTGAAAAGTTTGGAGCTGATTTAGCTCTGGTAGTACTTATTAGGCCGCTTTGTTCTGCTCTGGAATTATCATGAGCGTCATTGAAAATATTCTGCCGCGATGAAAACTCACCGCCTTCTGATTGGAAGATGTTCGAGATTTGGAGCAACAATAATAATTTATTATTCATGCTGTTGATTTCTTGTTTTTGAGGAGTTAACCTTATTGATTATCATTATTTTATCATCATTACCTGGAACTACTAGGTAGTCATCTCACTTTGAACAAACTTGTAAGTCTTATATTTAATTTCCTCTTCCTCTTCTTCTTCTTCTTCCTCTTCCATGTTCAGTTTCACTACCTTCCTTAAATATCGTCTTTTGAATCATGTCTTCCTCATCTCCTCCTACTTTACCTTCGTCCCATCTTCCATTTGATAACGTAACCACGCAAAGTTACAACACTGGATATACTATGCTGTGCACCGATTCTGTCGTGTCAACTTACATTTCAGCTCTTAATTCCTGGGCAACCTTTACTCCAGCTACATGCTCATATAATAGATCCCTCACTTCTACCACGAATCCATCTTCAACATTAGCTATCACTATCACTTCTACTGAGATTACAACTGCATCACCTCAAGAAACACCCTTCAATGATGTCTCGACAGTCACGGAATTCAGTAGCACTGCGATAACTACTACAGTTACTCGTAGTGTGAGTACAAGTTCTCAGACGAGCAGTGCAGCGAAAGAGATGCTGCAATTTGGGCCATCCAGTCTATCTGGGTTTACTGGTCTGGGTTGGATACTGTACTTCAGCTACAAACTCCTCCATCGATAAATGACAGCCATGACAATTTGAACTTCAGTGAAGTCAGTGAACGATTTCATATATTATTATTATTATTATTATCAATGACGTCAGCCGAACGCAAACAACGAATTCGGATGAAAGTGTTGACCTTGACATCAACTACACAACCACACAACCTCATAACCAAAGCAGTAACAGGAGCGCATATACATTCATCTTCACGATATTTGAGCCTCTCGTCGTACCTTCCCACCGAGATCTCGGAATAATCGGAGAAGTTTCTTCCACGATCACATGTTTCCTGATTGGTGCGGATAAACATGGATAAATTCATCGCGGGGTCGCTGCTAGAGTGGGGTAGGGTGATGAACGAAGCACAGCTCGAAACTAAACTACTCCGTATACATCTCATCAACCCTTCAATCTAAATCTTCATTCACAAAAATAAGAGGATTAAACTTGGAGAAAATTTTGACCGCAGTAATCCTCAAGCACCATGGCAGATATATCTGGAAAAAGTGTAAGAAATATTAAGCATATTCAGCTCTTGTTTTAAGGATCTTTCTAATCTGTTGTCCTTAATAGAACAACTCTTTCGTTCTCGAAAAGCCTTTTTCGGTGAGATTCGAAGAACGCCCAGTTCCAAAGCTCGAATCTGAACACGATGTCCTCATTGCCATAAACTATACCGGTATCTGTGGATCAGATGTTCATTACTGGGTTGAGGGAGCGATTGGTTCTTTTGTTGTGAAAGATCCCATGGTATTAGGCCATGAATCTGCAGGTACAATCGTCAGCGTGGGGTCAGCAGTCAAAACTCTCAAGGTTGGCGATCGTATAGCCCTTGAGCCCGGTTATCCATGTCGCCGTTGCCCTGCCTGTCTTTCCGGTCACTACAACCTCTGCCCGGAAATGCACTTTGCGGCCACTCCTCCAATCGATGGAACTCTTGCTGGATTTTACTCATCTCCAGCAGACTTCTGTTACAAACTTCCTGAGCACGTCTCACTCCAAGAAGGTGCTTTAATGGAGCCTCTTGCGGTGGCAGTCCACATCTGCAAACAAGCTGTTATCACCCCAGGGCAATCTGTTGTGGTAATGGGAGCAGGTCCCGTCGGTCTGCTATGTATGGCAGTAGCTCGCGCATATGGAGCATCCATCATTGTCGCAGCTGATATTCAACCAACTCGTCTCGAATTTGCGAAATCCTTCGCTGCCACTCATACCTTCACCCCTCAGCGAGTTTCCGCCGCAGAAAATGCATCAAATCTGAAATCACAGGTTGGACTGCCAGAGGGTGCCGACGTTGTAATTGAGTAAGCTTAATCCACTTTCCAAAATCTTTGCCTTACTACCTGACTTTATTCCCCAATGTCAACCACGACTTTATAATTCCATATACACCCTTTTTACTTCCCAGCATCGTTTTATTCTCCTTCATCCTTACTTTACTCCAAAACCATTCTTAATAGACCTTACTAACTCTTCGATCTTACAGTGCGTCAGGAGCAGAACCATCCATCCAAACGTCTATAAATGTCGTACGCCGCGGAGGAACGTATGTCCAAGGTGGAATGGGCAAACCAGACATCAATTTCCCAATTATGGAGTTGTGTACCAAGGAAATTACAGCCAAAGGAAGTTTCAGATACGGAAGTGGAGATTACGCTCTTGCCGTACAACTGGTGAGCGGTGGAAAGGTGGACGTGAAAAGGTTGATTACTGGAGTAGTCCAGTTCGAGGATGCAGAGGAGGCTTTTAAGAGTGTGAAAGAAGGAAAGGGCATCAAGGTCTTGATCAAGGGTCCAAATGAAAAGTGAATATTATGAGCGTTGTAAAGTATGGAGCAGGAGTCGGTGTTTTGGGTGATGAAAGGGGCAATGATGGTGGGTGGGGAGCTACGGGGACTGAAGATACCCGATCTGAATGCGCCAGAAATGATGAAACATATGGGCCTCCTGACTTTTAGCAAGTGTATTATTGTATCTATGTAATCGATTAAATCAATGTATGTCCTGTGTCCTCTGTACTCAAATGCATTCTTCACTAGAATGTGTTGAGTGGCCCTGACTGCTACTGAGAAAGGAGTCGGGTTAATTATTTATCAAACCTAGCTTCAACGCTCCCATCTCATGTAAAAGTTATTGTGTCATTGGCCGCCTCCTTTTTCATAAATATAATGAACATGCCAAGGTAAATAGATCGATCTCCCTACATTTCTATAAAAGAAAATCACCTTACTTAGCTACCTATCATCACCATAATCTCAGCACGCATTATAAAATCATATAATCGAGAATCCCAAACTCAATCCGAATCCAAATCCAAATTTGTAATATAATGAAAATATTTACATCCACAACTACAACTACAAGTTCAATGACCTAACCTAACCACAGCTCCGACCACGATCTAAAGCATACCCAAATACCGAACCTCAATCTTCGTCCCCTCGCTCGCACCACCCACAGCCACTTTAACCACCTCTCCAGGAACAATATCCACCAAATTATCCTCAAACCTTACATTTTCATCATCGCACTCGAGAGCTAGACCCTTGATTGGTACCTCGCTGCTGATTTCCACCGTCTTTCCATCTTTCGATAGGGTGGCGCGGAGGTTCTGGGGTTTTTGTAAGTGAACGTATTTGAGAGGTTCGGGCCAGTTGATGTAGCGGGCGATTTGGACACCAGCTTGGATGAGGTAGGCTGCGACGACGGTGCGGGATTCTTGGTCTGCGTTTGGTTTTTGTACGGGCACGTCCATGGCGATGATTTCGGTGGAGCGGTTTTCCGGGAGGAGGAGTGCAGATGCTATGGTTTTGGAGTATGTCTCTTGGCCGGTTATCACGTCGAAGGCTTTGACTACTACGTCGGCGGTGATATCTTCGAGACCTAGGTTTGAACCCCAGATTTCGATTTGCGTGGTTTTGGTGAGATGTGCGCGCGTGTATTTGTCTTTTGGGACGACATGTTCTTTGCGTGTGATACCGAGGGATATGGGGGCCATTTCACGCTTGACGGTGTAGTAGGCGTGTTTTGGTCGGAGATAGTAGTCGACGATTGCCCATGATGTTACAGGCCAGCAATCGTTGATCTGCCAGACTAGGGCACCTCCACAGTATTCTTTTCCTGGACCTTTCCATTGGCGTTTCCATAACCGATAGGCACTAGCTAAGCACTCAGCTTGCATAAGTTGTGTGGAATAGATGAATTGTTCGAGAGGATCGGGGGCGTAGCGGAAGTTTTCAACCAAATAGAGAGCTATACGACGTTCATGTCCCTCGGCTTTGTTGTGGAAATCGACGGTAGAGGACTGCGCAAAACGATCGGGATCATCTTTGCCTAGCGGGAGAAATGCCTCTATAGTTTTGATATTGGGAAATGCTTCCATGCCGAATTCCGAGACGAATCGTCCAACGAGCTTGTCGAAATTTTGGTATTTCTCCTGAGAACCGTGCCAAACATTCCATTGATGCAAATCACCGACGGTAGGATCTGTAGTTTTCTTTCCACCCCAAGGACTACCATAGTGATAGTATGTATCTGGAATTAGTTCAGCACAAGCATCTACCAAGATTTTCTCATATATGTATCTTGCTGGAAAGTTGGTCTTTAACCAGCTCTCGCTGTCTTTATTTTCAAAATCGTATGTGAGACCTTCCGATTCTTGGTATTGGTAATCCTCATTGTTACCAGCCCAGATAACGATGGAAGGATGGTGTCGAAGAAGTTTGACATTCTCCTCAGCTTCCTTCTTCACAGAAGTAAGAAACTCTGGGAAAGCAGGGTAGTTTCCGCACCCAAACATGAAATCCTGCCATACCAAAATACCTAATTCATCACAGGCATCATAAAATGCTTGCTCCTCAAATATTCCACCACCCCAGACTCGGATCATGAACTGATTTCCGTCTGCCACCAACTTAACCCAGTCGTAATACTTCTCTTTGCTAATCCGAGGAATGAAGTTATCAGCAGGAATCCAGTCGCTACCGCCACAAAAGATAGGAATGTTGTTGATCCTGAAGAAAAATGAAGTTCCTGGTTGGCCCGTCAAAGAATCTTGCACTAGCTCTGCTCGGCGCAAGCCAAATCTTTTGGTCTGTGTTGAGATACTTGTATCGTTGTGAAGTAGAGTTGCGGTAAGATCATACAACGGCTGTTTGCCATATCTGATCGGGAACCAGAGTGCTGGGTTCTCTATTTTAAAGGCATGGGTAGCATGGCCTTCCACAGCTTTGACCGTTTGAGTTGCAATGAGGTCACCGTTCAGAGTGATGTCGAACTTGACTTGCGAGCTCTCGCCTTGAACATCCGCCTTTGCGACGAGTTCTGCGATTTTCAGGGATTTATCCACGTTGCTTGTGAAGTAGACATCTGAGATGCGGGAGGTGAAAAGCTCAAGGTTTATTGGTCGCCAGGGTCCGCAAGTCATGAGTGTTGGGCCCCAATCCCATCCCTGAACGAAGTCAAAGTTAATGATCTATGTTACAATTCCATATAGCAGTTGCTTGTTACATACCCAGTGATATTGTGCTTTTCGAACAGCAAGTCTGGAAGTATCCCCATTCCAACAACCCCAATGATGATCCGGGTATTTCTCCACTATGGCACAACCTTTGAGATATGCGCTCTCAAATGTGATTTCCAGCTCATTCTCTCCCTCATTTTTCAGGTAAGAAGTAACGTCAATCCTTTCCGGTATGAACATATTGTCCGTCTTCAGGATCTCCTTTCCATTTAACAGAACGGTGGCATATGTATCTAATCCATCAAATGCCAGGACTGCTTTGACGCTAGCTTTATTGTCTGATAGTATGGCAGGCGATGAAAATGTTGTCTTGTATACCCAGACAGATTCACCAATCCATTGTACGTCGTTCTCATTTTTGCCCATGAAAGGGTCTTGTATGATGCCATTGGCAATGAGATCTAAATGAACATTCGTGGGAAATTGTGCGACAGACAGGAATTTAGAGTCTTCATTGTCTGCTTGTTTGAAGGTCCAATTATTATCAATTGGGATTATGGTATGCTGAGACATCTTGGGTGAGGCTAACACAGATGCTTTTTGGTTTGATGGCTCGTTGAGAAGGGGTGCTTCGTTCGCATTGACCAAGGAGGTATGAGTATTTTATAGAGAAATCAATTTGCGGCATGTGAGATGATATTCCAACACCCTCAAATGAACAAGCTCCTTCTTCTGTCTGGGGCTAGTTTATCTCATGGGTGAATGACCAGTAGCAAGTCCCATGGGTGTCATGGATCCGATTTGTGAGGCCTCGGAGGCTCCAAAATGGGATTTCTACATGCGGGGTCCCCCTCCCGTGGTTTGACAAAAATTGGGAATTTACTTGGCTTCTAGGATAAGAAGGAAGGGATGTTGAGTGTTGCAGGTTAGTACGGGCAGCATGATTGGTTTTTCATAGATTTTGTAATACTTTCATAAAACTGGAGAGTCGATTTGTATGTAATCTTATGTGTGATACAGTTAAAATAGATTTGGAGTTGCGTGTGATGATGTTGGTCGGAGAATCTTCGGGACACATTCTCGGAAGAGCAGCAAAGCAATTCATTTTCCTAGTCTAGTATAGTAATAAGTACTCCAGTGTATCGATATTCTCTTCAATTAATATTCCTTATTTGATCATACACCTTGTTTTGTAGTCGGAGTTTCCGTCATATCACATATTACTAATTACAGGTCTCCGGTAAGTTTTTGATTTTATGGAAGACTTGTCGTATAACCATCCTCTGGGGGCTTTCCGGGCTGTTATTCCAAGCATCCAGGACGTCGTTCCTGCAGAAACAAGGCCGAAGGTTTTCGAGAGAGCCTTTAAACGTCTAATGCCGATTGGAGATAATACATATACCAAGAGCAGATGACATGAAAGCCTCAAAACATTCCTTACCATAAAAGCGTTGACAAGCCATCCATCTTACTTACCCGCTTTGTTTCTTGGATCCTGACCTGTGTAGGTTGTATCCTAAAACCCACAACCACCTCGAAGTCCATGTATGCTTATGCGCTTTCCAATACTTTTTATTAAATTTCAATTCTCGCAATAGTCATTCAAACATGACTATATCGAACAGTTGATCTGTTTTCGGAAAGTACCTATGCAACCGGGGCTCTTCGGTTATCCAGAAAGGGAAGCGGAGGCAGCCCCTCCGCACTTTGTACAGAGCGAAATCTCTGCAACGGTCTCTCAAGTGACGATGATATATGTACGCCACAAACATGGACATTTGAGTTTTGACAAGGGAGCTCAGAATTGCCGATGTCGTATCCCTTGAATTAGCTTAAAATCATGCTTCTAAAAACGTTCTTATTCCCCGGCCCGTGACAGTACATATCTGTGCCTACAACAACCTGCGTACTACATATGCGCGACATGCAACCATGTCAAGTCAATAAATTAAAACTTGACGGATATATTAGCCGTTGGAGAATCATTGGTGAACATTCAACGGTACAGACACATTTTTTCAGGAATCTGTTCATTTTGCACAAGTTCCATCACCCATGCACGACTGTCACGACAAAGAGATCACCATTTTCATCTGGCACATCTAAGATAATTTATCAATTATCACCAGCAATTGTAACACATTTTTATCCTTCTATGGTTTACTCCTTTACCAGCGCTTAGCCTGAAGTCCGCGGGTCTATTAAAGTTACTTTCCGAAGCTTCGGACCTGACCTGCCCATGAGTGTTAAGGGTACGAAGTACATGAAGTGCTTGATTTACATGCATTGTCTTCTCAATCCTTCCAGTACTTAACTCTATTCAGCATATCGTTCTCTAAGTGGTTATACGAGGAAGACGATAATTACCAGGTGGCAAACCAGATAGAGAAAAGTTGTGACCTATTTTCAACATTTCACCGTCAAATGGCTGGATTAGATTATTTACTTGTCGTCTTGCCGTCATGGAGCAATTGACCAAGTATCTTTGCTTCTGAGTTGGAATATTTGCCCTATTGGCAGAGTAGCCTCCCGATTTGGCCTTCTACATCACCATGTTGAAGCGGACAGGGGCAACAGAGGACGGGAAATTTGCCTGAAAAACCACACTATACTGTCATTTTACTCCAACACATCTTGCGGCCCGAAAGAAAAGGCTTCATACCACTTCCCTATGAACAGCTTTTGTCAATATAGTATCCTGTGTTCTATAAACAGCCATATGTTTTCTTTTTCGGGGGATGAATAACTCTTGGCTAATAGTATATGCACTGTTCATTTGAACTTTGGTAAAGAGAAAATTCAAGCAGTGTGTTAAATGATCTAGACTCGCAACTAGATATGGAACCTTTCAATATTTGGAAGATGATACATCGTTGAAAATTCTTTCTTTATTTGAATGTTCCACATTTTTCAGACACTGTGAAAACTTCAAGTTAAAACTAAATGGAAGTAGCAAGAGCATCTGATAATCAGACTGCAGTCCAGACTAAACTATTCCAACCTGTGACCAGCGCCCGCCAATATCCAAAACATACTACGGATGTCAGCAAGGAAATTCCATGGGTCAATATTCGGCACTTAATGTGTAGTAAAGCACTGCTACTAAATCTTAGCAGCTAAGTAATTCAGTCATCAGTTCCATGCAATAGAGTAACTTCTATTCCAAACATACCCTCAACTCCTTGGATGTGACGGAGGAAAGATATATCACTACTGCTGCTAAGCTGCTTCAAAATAATTCTCTATATTTATCGGCCACCGATGAAATGAGACACCTACAACGAATACTTGATGCAGCATCGCGGAAAAAGTTTGCTGGTAGTCAACACACATGGTGAATTCCGCTGGTGCACGACTGAGCCATACAACATAACGCGGTGCTATAGATGCTCCTCAAACAATGACCATTTCGCTGCGACAAGTACTACCTCCCTTCTCGAACTTCGAAGGACCAGTAGTCAATCGAGTATTTCTGACTCCGTGTACCGGAAATCATGAGTTGCACATAAGAAGTACCATGAGACATGTTTCCAAATCATAATAGGTATGCAATATCCACCCACCAAATGTAGAAGCACTTCACCCGCATCTCGCCATTCGTTCAATAAACTTAAGTAACCATCTTGACTTCGTACCAGAGAGTGCCTCTTGCTCATGATATATACTTCACCATCCGTAAATTTCTCGCTCGACTCGCACTCACTGCTCAAGCTATCTTCACCATCTAATACACTGAAAGTAACAATCGTGATCACCATCAAGACTCGCATTATACGGCGCACAAATTAAAGACCACAAAAATCGTTCCCGTTCTCGTCCGCAGGACCCCCTCATGCTGCAGAGACACAAACCCGCGGGCGATATAGACCATATACGTACTATTTCAATGGTAGGTAGTGACGATAACAATCGACATCATCATCACTATTAGTACTATCATCCTCATCACACCGCAAAAATAACAGTAATAAAAACTTTTTCTTCATCATCCATACAATGGCGATCATATATATCAAGATTCCTCAATGCCACGCTCAGCTTTTCTAGATCTTTCTTCTTTCGTCGTCCGTAACCTACCGCCGCTCCTGAGGCTTCATCGAGCGAAATTCTAGATCTAGAAGTTACAATATATTGGGATGAGATTGCTGTATGTACCAATTGAAAGATGTAATAAGTTTGCTTCTTTTTATGGATATAGAGTTGTGGTTGTATTTAGATATTTAGATATTTATCGAGGATTGTGGGTTGAGGATAGGGGAACAGGGGATTGAGAATTGTGAATTGTGAAAGAAGTGGGGATGCAGTTTATATATCTTCCACATGCACGTCGAGAAAAGCAGTACGGAGGAAATAGCTATATGTTAGATCTTGGAAAGATTGAGATATTCGATTAGTTTCATATACAGATTATAAATATGATATTGCGACATAATGGCGCTATCTTGAAGAATTGAGGTAAGTAATTTCAGCTGCGCATCAGAGCTTGTATTTTAGTGATTTGGTGCACTGATTTTCCACTTCTGGAGGTTGTGATTTTTGTATGATGTTTAAAATTTTTGGTTTTCGATTTATTCGTTATAGTGGGGATGGTACTTAATGGTAATGGTAGTAGATATAGAGTTTGTATACTCTAAAACAAAAGCTTGGGGAATTTTGCTGAATATTATTGAGAATTATCCAGTTTTCTGTCAAAATGAATGGTGGATGCGTATCTATCTACTGATATATAGATCTGATTTTCGCCAATTTGTTTTGAGTCCGCTCGAAGATATCTAAATGCCCATTTGTAACCTAACGTTTATATCGAAAAATGGGAAATAGAGTAGATCATAATAGCTGAACACGGAGAGACAGGAACAAACAAGGAGATGGTAAGTCTTAGATATCCAAAAACTTTCAAGACATACCTGAAATGGTACTCGATAACTTATTGACTTCGCTTGTTATAGTTTTTGCAAACCCGTAACGGAATATTGAAACCTTCTAGTAAGCACTATCTTCTTATTGATGGATTCTAGACATACTTAACAAATCTAGCCTTCGTTAATGAATAGAATCCTTCGCAGCCATCCCGTTTCCCTACGTACTCTAGCCGCTCCACCCATCACCTAATTAGTGATCCATATCCATATCCATCTCCTAACTAATAGATTAGTCAGCCGAGACCTTATGTAAATTCTCCAGCTTCCATAATACTCGAGTATTTGACTCTTTAGTTACCACTTGCCACAATATTAATGAACTTCTCTCCATCCGAAATACGTACAATATTAAAGTCTCGAGATGACTTAGCAGCCTTTCAAGCAGCTGCTGCAGTGATATGACTATAGCAAGATAAGATTTTTCGTTTATCTAGATTCTAGATTACGGGGATAACCTTATGTAATCTCAATATCTCAAGATAAGAGCTCCGATGAGGATAATCGGACGATGAAGTCGGGCTCTTGGTCAAACCTCGGAATCGTGTAGATGGAGGTATAATATTCTCAAACTGATTAGTTACAGATTCATGCAAGAATTGGAAACATATCTAACGTACAATTTATTTCGAAATCTAAAGTATGGTGAATACAAGTAACTTGATTGTCCAGACAGCTTTAGATCTGGTGATCTGATTATTTGAGTGACTTTGAGGTATCGAGCCAAATTTCTACTCCCGTACATACGTTGACACTTTCAAGCGATGCCATCCCTTCCCTATCTTTAATCAGAACTTACACTTTGTCTAATCGGCAATGAGATCATTGACTGGTGTGTGAATACCTCGTATATCCCTCGCCCATTTTTTCAAATTCGTCTTTTTAAGATCTTGAATTTCCACACAAAATTTGAAATGTCCCGACGATGCGGTTTGGTGGCTTTAAATCTCGCATTTCAACATGCTTCCCTTGCTTAACATCATGAATCTCAGCCCGAGAAACTCCGACGGGGAAAGTTCCTTCGAATCCCATTCGATAGACTTTACGAGAGTGATTGTGGCTATCAGTGCATGTCTGATATCTATCCATCGAATTGGGAGTGGAATTCTTCTTGGGATAAGATAGGATTATGAGTCGCGAGTCGTGACAAATTACGTGAATTCTAAGTTACTGACAAATGAATAATGGATCCTTCCAAAACAACCGGAATTCATGTGGGATTACCCCAGGATTTTGATGAAGGACCGAGGGTCTTTATTGAGACTTGATCCTTGATGAACACATGATAACTAAAACATATCTAAGCGGTGGGGAGGCCGATTGGCTGGGTAGAGGCGAGGATATGTGATTTGGGATTTGGTGTAACTCAATCAAGGGGCTTGACACACAACACTGCTCAAGCTCATGCATGATATATCTGATGTGGAAATGCTTACGGAGAACGCTATGAAATTCACAGGTTTTGGTCACGTGTGGGCAAAAGATATGCTGAGTAACCATCAACTTTGATCTAGAATCCCCATGAAAACAACACCACTCATGGACACATCCGTCATTCGCCAATATTTGGCCTTTAACCATAAAATATGCCTGTCTGTACTCGTCGCCCGCTCCTATGCCACCGGAGGACTTTCTGGTTGGGAATCAACGTTACAGTGGGCGAGTCACTGATTATATCCTTCATTTTCATTCGTTCATTTAGTCTGATCACTATCTGCTATCACATTATGGAGATATCACCAGCCGCGAAATCACCAACATGCAGGCATCAGTCGTTACCTTCAATATTCTTAATAGGGTTCACACGGTACCTATCAAATTCAAAACAGGTACAGTCAGAATTTAGTGCCCTTTATGGTTTTAACTCCGATGCTGCATGCAAATGTTGTACCCACAATTTGTCATGGACTCATGGCATTGATGGCAAAGTTGTCGTTATCGGACGGCCAATACCATACAATTGATGGTCAGAAGTTAGAACAAGCTTTTCCAAGAATTTTCTACAAGTCGTCGATGACTCTTTGGCTGGCGCCGCAGGAAGAGAGGAGCGGAACGTAATGTGACCCTGCCCTAGGGATTCTAAACCTCCTCCCCGCCCCCATCACAGCAAAAGCCCGTTCACCTGGTCATTCAAATCAATGTTCGCTTCGGGGAACTTATCTTAGCAACATCACCGTCTTGAACAGGAAGGTGCGTATGCCGCCATCTCCTGACCAAGGAAAGTATTACCGATTCAATGGACTACTGGATAAATTTCCGTGATATAAAACTCTATTTACGAATTATGTCAACTTTTACATTATAGCTGTTTGTTTTTGCTTCAAATCCTTGCCTACTATTCTTATTTCCGTTGGTAGTATGCTTCCTATCTGCCCATGTTACACTAGTGTTCTAGCTTGATGCTTATCTACAAGATCATCCTGTCAACTACTTGAAGGAGGTGTCTACCCCTCCCGTACATAATTTTGTTAGAGGTATTTAAGATTTATGTGCTTCCTGCATCCCTATCACGAAAGGCTTTTCCAGTTTCATTCATTATTTTTGTCCAAGAGCAAGTCCTGTAGGCCTATCCTCTTGATTCGCTCTCCTCATATCTAGCCCAATATGACTACGCAGGTCGCAAATCTCGCTTTGGAGGGTGGTGATCCACGAGATCCTCATCATCCAATGGTAGGCGACGCTAAGGCGGTGGAATTGGCCATGCTAAACACTATACACGATCCCAGCATCACATTCGAAGAATACGTCTACTGGGCTGAGATCACTCGTGCTGAGGAGAAAGTTGCCAATGAAAAGTTTCTTGCAGCTCAAGGACCAAAAAAGTGGACGAGCATATTTACAAATCGGTTCTCTCGTGGAAAAGTTCCCCCTGGGACATATGACACTCCACCCGCAACAACTTCGGGATCAAAGGAAGCGATAGACGAAAAGTCTGTTGTCCTTGATGGACCACGTCAATCGGCTGTTTCGGAGGCTGAGTGGAAGACGGCGAGTCGTGCTGTCCGTACGGCTGGCTGGTCGGGTGTCTTTTACCTCATCACAACTGATATCCTTGGACCTTTCAGTGTTCCTTGGGCCTTTGGGCAAATGGGCTGTAAGTAAATTTAATATCTGAAGTTCAACAAAGTACTAACATGTAGCTGCAGATGGACCTGGAATTGCTCTCTACACTGTATTCGGTGGTTTTGCTTTATATTCTGGCTGGCAACTCTTCGCTATCTTCCTTGCACTCGACTCGGATAAATATCCAGCAAAATCGTATGGTGACCTCTTTTTCCGTGTTTTTGGAACCTGGGCTCGTCATGCGATCAACGTCGCTCAAAGTGTTCAACTACTGCTCACTGTATCTATCCTCATTCTCTCCAACGGGCAATCTATTGCACAAATCTCCAAAGGAAACCTTTGCTTCATTGTCTGTCTGATAATTTTCATGGCCGCCGGTATGATCTTGGGACAAATTCGTACACTCCAGAGATTTGGTTGGTTAGCGAATTTCGCCGTCTGGATCAACATCCTCATCATATTCATCTGTATGGGTGTTGTTGCCAACTCACCACCCAACTATGCGACAATAGAATCTTCTTATGGTTCTAACTTCGGTCCTGGTCCAGTCCACAGATATGCCGGCACCCCTCCCGCTGGCAAAGCGACTGGTGGAGATGGATTTGTCGGATCTCTGAATGGTCTAAACCAAGCCGTATATTCGTATGGTGGTGCTATGCTTTTCGTTGCTTTCCTGGCTGAAATGCGTCATCCTATGGATTTCTGGAAGGGTCTCATCTGCGCCGATCTATTCATCTACTTGGTCTACATGTTCTTTGGTATTTTTGTCTACTCCTACCAAGGGCAATATGCATACAACCCTGTCATTCAAGGTCTTTCGCCGTACAACTGGCAAACCGCAGCAAACATCATGAATTTGATCACTGGTCTTATTGCCGCTGTACTATACGGAAACATTGGCATCAAAGTTGCATACATTGATGTCTTCCAAGGTATCCTCAAGGCACCACCCTTGACCACCAGACCTGGTAAAATTCTTTGGATTGCCATGGTGCCTTTGTACTGGGCAATCGCATTTGTCATCTGCGCCGCCATCCCTCAATTCTCTTACATATCGGGATTGGTTGGAGCAATTTGCATTTTACAATTCACATACACCTTCCCCGCCATTCTCGGTGTTGGATATCAAATTCAAAAAGACGCCATGCTACCAGGAGAAGAGTCATTCGACCCCCGAACTGGAACTTACAGTTATGTGGATAGAGGTGTTCAAAGATGGATTAGAGGATTCAAGGTTAACTGGCTTTTCAACATCTTCAACTTTATATACTTTCTCGGTGCCTTGACCACGGCGGCTTTGGGTATCTACAGTAGTTGTCTTGGTCTGATCAGTGCTTTTAGTGGTGCTAGTGCCGCGACTAGTTTTGGTTGCGCATCTCCTGTTTAGTTGGGAAAGATATTTTCTGGATGAAAAACTCGGAATGGGTCGCTATATGTATGGGCTGTTTAATTTATTACGGAGAAGGAATGGAAGTCCAATAACTTATGGTGTCTGAATATGGAATAGAAATTTGGAGGCTAAAAACTCTTGGAAAGAAAGGATGTTAGATAATACTCATGTTTCAATAACAATGTTTGAATAATTGATCTTGAACTTTAGAAATATTCTAAAACGTTTCTCTGTTTAGTTATATTAGGTTAATACCCTGACGTTTTAAGATGAGATCTTTGATCTATCTTTATTTGCTTTGTATGAACCTTTGACTCGAGAATTTTTCTAAATGATTGCAGTGGGATTGGGTATTGCATCGACAGTCTTTTTTAACATCTGGAATTTTAAAATTTTATATTTTCTTGATAACCTTATTTGAATAGTTTCTTCTTGTTGACTCTGAGGTTGAATGGGAATATCCGAATGAGAGTTTATTATTTATTAGTGGCTTCTGGACTTTAAAAGGAATTTTATTATATATTTTTGGTAAAGTCTTACATTTTTGTATATTTTTAGTTTTCTGTATATTGGTATTACGCTAGTATTTAGTAATTATATCCTCATAAATACCATTTTTAGTCAACATTTACTACGGGTGTGGTGTACTCTCGGCTAAATACGTGTGAATTACCGTGTTAGAATGTCAATACGTGCTACTGTTTCACTGATTACTGTGTATTAACGCAAATACCGATAGGTCAGATAGCGGTTATATCCTCTTGGACTGGGCATCTCTTGGTTCTTCTAGATACTATGGTTTTAATAATATGTACTATCTTTCTATAGTTTCATCATCACTATCGCTATCGTTATAATCAAAGTCATTTTCAAGAATATTGCCTTCATACTCTACAACAAATTCGGGGAATCGTTTGTTGAATCCTTCCTTTCTCATTCCTACTTTGACTGTTTTGTTCACTTTCCTTTTTTCAGATAAAACATTGTCTCTTTCCGCTCACTCGTCCCGAGAGTATCTTAATTGAAAACGATTGCGGGGCGATTTGAATCGTCGTCGTTTCGATATTATGAGGAACTACAATCTGTGTAGAATGACGTAGTCCCTTAGCAATTGAGCAGTAAAAGTTTAAGGCAAAACCTTTCAGCATGATTGGAAATGCTATTACAATGAATGATTGGATTTCAATATCTGCACGCTGGCAAAATTCTTGGAAGATGATGAGTTTGTACGGAGTACTCTAGTTAAAGCTGCAGTCTCCGTCAGAGTACTTTAGTTCTTGGGTGCATATCTTGGATCACCAGATAGATTGGTTAGATCTCTTCAGATACTGGTTTTCTGTGGTGGGGTATTCATATCTTCGATTGTATCACTGGCTGAGTATGTTGGAAAAGTAGGATGAGGTGGAGATGGGGTACGTATTGAAGCTGGGAATCAAGAAGGTGGGGTAGTCGGGCTGATACAGTAGGGAGGAGGTGGGGCTGATTTGACGTCTGAGTATGCCTTCGGAGTTTTGTTGAGGTTATTTTGCATCAGTTGTTAGCTTGTTGTCGATTGGCTTTGTTCGCGTTTGGTTTCTCAAGACCATATTTGTATGGTTGTATTATCTGTATATGATGCATGTTCATGACGTTTCATCTTTATAAAAATACCCCGATTTCTAAGCCGTATATGATATCTAAATTAAGGTTTTCTTAGTCTTCTCTCTAGTTCGATTCGATCGGATTAGCCCCGTTTTAGCCCTTGTTTTCAGCTTCCCTCATAGTCGCGGTAAATTAATTAGTGAAGTAACTAAGTGGAGATAGCTTCATTTCCTAATAACAGCTTCAGGCCAAGCCCTATTCACTTTTGCCGTATATTGCGACCTCCCGTATGATTTTAGGAGTTCAGTCTTGTAAAACTTTCGGCCATCCGAGCGGCTATATAAAAAGTATTTGTTTATCAAGGAAAACGTATATGATCTACTAATTCTAGTCATCATATACGGGTCAGGGAGTACATTGGGGGTTGTGGTTCTGCTTGCTCTGTTGACCCAGTACTCCTGCCACGTTCCTCTTCGTACTCGGTTTTGCTTTGCTAGAATATTCTACCAGATTTGAACGTGGACGATTTGTCTATTTGACTTCCTTGATTTTCTCTTCTGTTCATGCCACGTAGGTTTCTGTATTTGCCGTAGTTTCAAAGTGGCATGCTTGAAAGAGTGGGAAGCCGGCTATAGGAACTTCTAACAGATTATCGTTGTAGATCTCTTCCTGTCCATACTCCTTGCATCTGAATTTGCAGTAGGCAGCTAGATCTACCGCGGTTGTTCCCGTCACCATGGATGGATTGGATCCGCTGTTGCAACCCTAGAGGAGGGATACCAAATACATATAAAGGGAATCACATTCTCAGGCTGTCAGAAATCAACTCCATCACTTCTCTTTACCTCCCGCACGAACCTGTCTAGCTGCTAGATATTTTTACTTTAATATTACCAAAGTACTCAGATAGGTATAAGAAGCTACTTAACACAAGAGCCTTCCTCATGTACTGACCTCCGTTAGGGAACAAGACAATAATCATGCCCTCCAGTGTCTGGCTCGATGGTAGGGATCATTCCCAGGAAGCTCACATTTACACTGGCACCCTCTGGTTCAAGGAGAGAAAGATTTGGGAAAACTCTTGCCACGACAACACGATCCAACTAGGCGACGCCCTCCACAAGCTTGATCCTCAGTTTAGCATGACTTTTGCGAGTAAGGAAAAGACACTTGAAGGACACACAAAAAGCATTAGCGTTAGGGTTGGAGACAATGTTATTCTGGACAAACTCAGTACTCATGACAATATGCACGAGTTGGTTGTCTCTGTTACCGCTATCCTGGCCGCAATTGCCTAGTTTGAAAGGGGAGGCACAGTCTTGGTCATTGAGGGGTTCGATCAATATGACCCACCTAGACAGCCTTCAGAATCTATCGACAATGCATCATGGAACACGTTTTGGAGCCACAGCAGGTGTTGGAGAAATGGCTGGGGGATGGTTATGGGCTGTTTAGGTAGCAGCAAGCCCTGAATTTGATTGAAATCGATTCAAGGGAACTTCTGCTCAATTCAAACATACCGTACGAATTCAATCTTAATCGATCAACTTGCTCATCAATCATCTTGTCTTCTCTATTGAGGCCTTTGGAGTATCCCGATGTGGGAATAAGACGTGCTGCCAAGTTATCAATGGATAACGATTGAATCGTACCCCGTCAATAAGCTACAGAGTAATGGATTGGTGAACTCTTATAATGTTCACTACGTCACCTTCCATGTGAAATATAATTGTTGGAATAGGATTCGTGACTAAGTATGTAGACTGTACTAAGGCTAGCTGGAGCTCGGCTATCGTTTATATAACCCCTCTCACAGCCATAACTTCAATGAATTAGACAATATTAACCAAAAAACAGAGTATAAGGTATCATATGAGACAGCTTCTCTAATGAAGTTATACGAACAGTAACGGTATATATGAACCACTGCAAATTTGTTGCTGTGGGAGAAATTCTCGTGACTGTCCTAGTAATTATTACTGCTGGTCCAAAGTCAGGAGTGCCGAGTCAGGAAAGATGCTGTCACAGAGCAGGGACTACAAGAAATTAATAGATTTAATATATCAAACGGCATGAATCCAATATGATAGATAGTACTGTATTATCTTAGTGATCAGAGACTATCCGGGTGGTAAAAAATCCTGATTGTCCTTAGGTACCGCCGCCGCCCGTATAATATAAATTACTCATTATACTAGAGATTCTTAAGAATATTATACTCTGCAGAGACTCTTTATATGATTTTCTTCTTAATAATATCAAGAAAAAGTTTCAAAGCTTTTCAGCGCGAATAGTTTGCATCCGACAAGAATAGTGTTTTTTAATATTTGATATAAGTCTAATTTATAGATTAATTACTAAATAAAATAATAAAAATAAAAATTGTATATCATACACAAAAAATGAAATCAATTCTAATAAAGTTTAAATGTATATAAATAGATGATCAAAAATTACAAAGTTAAAAAGTATTATAATAAGAAATTAAGTTAGTGTGACCAAAAGGGTGTTTATAGACCAGCAATTGTATTTAACTTAGAATCTACAGGTGAAGAGCACCTGTAGATGGGGATAGCTACTCTATATACACAAATGAATGGCCTAGCCGCAATGGCTAGGCAAAAAGAAGTCATATTTATTCCTCCAATGATCTTACTTTACCGATAACCATTGATACCTAGTACTTGTCCGGATCTGATCCTCAGGTCACCTAAATCGCATACTAATCTCGAGTAATCGTATCATGTGTGGACATGGTTAATGTACCTGAGGTTTCTTACATAATAAGGGTGGGAGGAAAGCAGGGATTTCCGTCACAGTTAGAAAGAAATTTAATTATGAATATTTTAAAATGATAATATTTAAAAGATAAATAAAGAAAGGAAATAAAAATTTATAAGAAGAATTCAAGAGAGAGTAAAACAATAAAAGATATAAAAGTATATAAGAGTCAGATATTAATAGTCTTGTAGTCAGTGATGATATATTAAGTGAGGAGTTTCCTGAAATCTACTTCTGGAATATACATATACTCATCTATCTATTTATATTAAAAAAAACATTTTCAATCTTCCCTCCTTCCCTCACCCATACCACACTATAAAATAAAGACAAACTTACAAATCAACAAACTCAACCCCTTACCTCTCTACAATCGAAACCAACATCAGAATCAGAATAGAAATCAGAAATCAGAGATATAAAAACAAATAAAGTTCCTCATCAATAAAAAGTAATCACGAAAAGAGTAAACAAAAGAAACTAATTAATAAAAAATAAAGGAAACCCAACACCTAACAGATTCAAAGTCCTTAGTCTCGCAGGAAAAGTATTTAGCACAGCAAACCAGCACACTTAATATGCCATCGTAGGGATTAGAATCACTCCCAAAGTATTTAATCTTTGTGTTAGAGGGGGTTGTTGATATTTATCTCTCTCTCTCTCACAAAAAATCCAAAAAAGAAAACTAAGTCAATAATCCAAACTAATCAAACCCATCTTTTCCATCCATCTTTTCCCATAAAATAACTATTTACAAAGCAAAATCTTAATCATCCTCTCCAATTCCTACTCGATTCGTCTCCTACATGGAGGGAATAACATTTAAATGACTACTAGGTAGGTACTAGCTAGAATTTGCGGATGTGAGTGTACTTTTTGAAGTTCTCCCGAGGATAAGCGAGTAAAATAGATGCCATGCCGGATTTAGAGAAATGCGGATCTGGAGATTCTAGGGGTTGGTGGGGTGTGGGTTTTATTTGCACAATGATGAGGAGGAGGATATATTGCATGTATGTATGAATGAGATGTGGAGGTCAGCGGTGTTGACGAACTATAAGACTGTGGGAGGAAGAATCGATAGTATGTTATATTATGCATCTGTGGAAAAAATAGAAAATACTACAAAGTAATCAAGATATAATTAT